AGGGGCCCAAACCCCCGCCCCTGTGGCCCCTCGGAATCACCTGTGAAGACCGTCAGCTCGCCCTTCCGATGGCCCTTCAGGAGCCGATTGAGGTCTGGAAAGCGGCTCCAGCGCACGCCAGCCGCCTGCTCCACGTTGGACAGTTCTCCTAGCACCTCTTCCCGAAGCTGCCGGAAGGACACGATAGACTTGTGCCAGGCGGGCAGGGCAGTACGAAGTATCCGAGAAAGATTTAAGCCCTGGTTCAGGGCATCCAGGGGACGGGGCTGCTGGTCCCCAGGCCGCACCAAGGAGCATCGCTTGGGGTTAAGTTTTCGGGCAAACAACTTGGCAGCTTCCCAGGACCGGAGGTCGTCCCCCAGCCAGAATACCACACGCCGGAACTGTTCAAGGTAAGGCAGCAGGGCTGGGGGTAAGCAGGCTGTTCCTCGGGGCAGGGTAAGGGTGGGCAGCCCCGTGGCCTGGTTCAAGGCCAGACTGTCCAGCTCACGGCTTGTCAGGACCACCTCGACATCCCGACGAGTGATCAGGGGCAATCCAAACAGGTTGTGGTAGGCACCAGGCCGGGGAATGGTGGTCTCCACATAGCGCACTCCATCCCCCTGGTCTTCCGCCCCTAGTAGCTTCAGGCCTCGTAATCCCAAGCCCCCAGGGGAGAACCAAGGGAAGACAAGGCTGCGGGCAGGTCGCAGATACCGCACACTGAAATGCCTGAGTGTGTCGTCCGTCACCTTGTTAAGGCCGAACATGACCCGAGCCAGCTTGGCCTCCTCTGGGTCAGGCAGCTCCCCGAGGGGGACAGCTCGGTCCCAGATCCTCCGCACCTCCTCACTGTCCTCAGCTCTCGGGGCCTCACTAAGCAGGGTCCCCTCTCTGGCCCCATCCCCTCGTCCCTCCACGCTGGCCTGGAAGTCTTCCCAACTCCCTTCTGCCAGGCTGCTCATGCACAGAAAGTGGCCTGTGGTTTTATCAATGAAGAGGCTGAAGGAAGCCGTGGAAGCCGCCTGGTCCTTGGGTGGCAAGGACCCCACAAAGGGGCTTGGAGCCCGCAGGCAGCTGTGGCCATCCTGGAAGGGGATCCCATGAGTCCGCAAATACTGGCGGATTTCGGTCGTTGTTACTGGCAACACCGGCGCCTCCAAGGCTGGCAGAGCCTCCTTCCGGTACCGTCTGCGAGGAGGGCCTGGAACCAGGCTTCGCGGGAGGCTCCTCCGGGCCATCCATCCCCCTCGCAGGGGCAGCAGGATGCGGAGCGGGTACGCACCCCGGAGGAGGACCCACATTCCTAATGCAGCGGGGAGTCACGACTTGAAAAGCCCTGGGTACCTGGTGTGGGTACCTTCACTAGGCCAGACCCTGGGGATCCCAGCCCCGCCCCCAGCACTCTGCAGGGCTCTAGATGGCTTCTCGCTGCCCCGTACACATCCCTCTGCACCCTCTTCACACTTTTGCCCTTGGACGTCGGTGTCGTCTATCTCGACTCCCTCACCGCCACGTCCTGAGCAGCGTCTCTCTCCCACCACCTCACCTCCGTGCCCCTCTACACCGTCCCTCAAGGACACGATTTCTCCGTCATCTCCTCCCCTCCACTGCCCCTCCACAGATTCTCCTCGCCGCTCTCACTGCTGCCATCCGCATCATTTTCGCAGTCTCTCGGCTCTAAGCCCCAGCTAGCGTCCCTTCTCGGCACCCTCCACACGACTCCCGCCGATCGCCGAGCCCGGAGGGACGCCACCACCTCCGCCCTCCTCGTGTCTTCCCTGGGCTCTGTTGGCAAGCGCTCCGCAGCCCCGGCCAGCGCCACCGCGCTCCGCTCACTCCGTTCGTCCGCAACGTGGGTCACCAGCACGCTTTGACCCCGGAATCAAAACTCCTCGGGCCCGGATGTCCCCGGAACCGGAACCGGAAGTCTCCGGGTTTAGTCCCTCCTCCACCGTCGCTTGGCTCCGCTCCCTGCGAACTGTGACCATGACGGCGCGCGGCACGTCCAGCCGCTTCCTGACCAGCGTCCTCCACAACGGGCTGGGTCGCTACGTGCAGCAGCTGCAGCGTCTCAGCTTCACCCTCAGCCGCGACTCGCCCTCGTCCCGCGGCGCCAGGTGATGTGCGCGGTGCCGTGCGCGCGAGGAGGGAGGGAGACAGGGAGTAACACGTCCTGGCTGAGGTCGCCCGGATCGGGGGGTCACCGTGCTCACCTTCCCTGGGTCCCCGTAGGGAGTTCGTGGAACGGCAAGTGACCGACTTCGCCCGACGGAACCCAGGAGTCGTAATATATGTGAACGCGCGGCCCTGTAACGTGCCAAGAGTAGTGGCCGAATACCGTGAGTGGGGCCGGGGCGGGATCGGGGCTCACCCCGCTAACCTTGCCCTCGCCTGACCCCCGGCCTGCCGGCTTCCACTGACCGCCACCTCCCTCTGCTAGTGAACGGAGCTGTGCGCGAGGAGAGCATCCACTGCAAGTCGGCGGAGGAGATCACGACGCTGGTGCAGAAGCTGGCAGACCAGTCGGGGTTGGAAGTGATCCGCATCCGCAAGCCCTTCCACACCGCTAGCCCTAGCATCCAGGGCCAGTGGCACCCCTTCACCAACAAGCCGACGACGCCGGGCGGGCTGCGCCCCCGAGAGGCCCGGGACACTGCCCCGGTTCAGTTGCAGTGAGAGTTGCCCCACCAGCTGCGACCCCGCGCTTTTGAGCTGTTTCCCAGGATAGGCGGCTCTTCCTCTGGGATTCTGAGCCCTGGCAGACAAGTGAAGCCGCCAGTGCGCAAATGGACACCAAAGGTTTCGCTTGGATTCACGAAGCGTGGCTTGTTTCTAGTGTCCGTGGGCCAGTGGCCTTTTTGAGCCCCTAATTCTTACCCAGTTGGCATTCCTGAGACATGAGATGAGAGGGCCTTCAGGGGTTCTACAGGGCCCTTGTTTTCTGAAATCCAAATTAATAACTGAACTGAAAACACAGCGAGGGGCCCAGAGGCTGCCGTCTGAAGCCTGTCTCTCCTGCTGCTCCATCCGCTGAGCCAAGGGCTGCTGTCTGCTACCGTGGCAGCCATCTGGGCTAGGCACTTCATCTGCTCTCTGTTTGTACAGATCTTAGTGAGATTAATAAACAGACCCATGGTCGTACTTGATCTGCCTTGAAAAGGTGTGCATATTTGAAGCCTCATTTTTCACTATTTCAAAACTGGAAGCAGCTTCCTGGGACACTGGCATCCCATCTGAACACCGGTTCCAGTCCCAGCTACCCCTCTTCCTGGGAAAGCAGTGGAGGATGGCCCAAGTACTTGCCACCCATGTGGGAGACCTGGATGGAGTTCCAGGCTCCTGGCTTCAATGTGGCCCAACCACAGCTGTTGCAGCTGTTTGGAAGTGAATCAGTGGATGCTCTCTCACATAAATAAGTAAATCTTAAAAAAAAAAAAAACCTGTAAGTGGAACATCGAACAATCCTTCAGAGTGGTTGGCATCAAAGGCCATGTGATGATTCTAGGTCTGACCTCTGGAGAGTGGTTTGTTGTTTTTTTTTTTTTTTTTGATAGAGAGAAAGGTCTTCCTTCCGTTGGTTCACCCCCCAGATGGCTGCTACGGCCGGCGCGCTGCGCCGATCCAAAGCCAGAAGCCAGGTGCTTCCTCCTGGTCCCCCATGTGGGTACAGGGCCCAAGGACCTGGGCCATCCTCCACTGCCTTCCCGGGCCACAGCAGAGAGCTGGACTGGAAGAGGACCAACCGGGACTAGAACCCGGGGCGCCAGCGCCACAGGTGGAGGATTAGCCAAGTGAGCTATGGCGCCAGCCTGCAGAGTGTTTCTTAGGTCAAGTCCCTGGTTGGTCCCAGCTGCACACATATCCCCTTGTGCTGAAATTCCTTGGGCCAGGGGTAGGGGGCTTTTAGGTTCCTGGGGGGCTGAGAAATGAGTATATTCCAGGCATAGAGGTTGGCAGGAGGGTTAGGAAAAGAGCCAGGAAGTGAAAAATCTACAAACTGTATGAATTCTTAAACCGTTATAATTTTCCTGGTTGTCATTTTCTAACCACCATGACCAGTGAGTAACGTGTGCCTTGGTAACCAAAGGGCCTGCGTGTCTGCCCCGCACACCGGGATGAAGAGCCCTGCAGCACCTTCTCCACAGGGGAAGGCCCGTCTAGACCAAGCAGACGACTCACAGCTGTGGGGAAAGGGTATTTATTAACCAACGGGGAGCAGCTGAGCCCAGGCTCCCCACTCTGTCACATGCCTGTTCCGCCCACCTGCGTGGTGAGTGGGGGCATTCCTAAAGAAGTGTAGCCGTTCTCACAATAAATACATTCATTGTGGGGTGGAGGTGGGAGGGTGGGTGAAGGGCAGTAAAAACCCGTGGGATTCCACGTTCTCAGCTACAAAAATAACAGTCATCCTCACCCAAGGGGGATGGGGGAGCTCAGTCAGGATTGATTGTCCCTTACAGGCCTGGAGCTGCAGAGGCCCCTGGACCCGGAAAGTGCCCCGGTGAGGTAGGACAGGGGTGGGAGCCAAGCATCCAAACTCCCAGCCTCTGCCCTTTGCATAGTTCCAAGAACGGGCTTCATGTGCCAGGTGAGACATCCGATCTCCTCCACTGCTGTGGTCCAGGGGAAGAAATGCTTGGTCCCCCAGAGGGGAGGCTGGCTCATTGAGTGCAGTGTTGGTCACCCGTCCCAGGGAAGGGTCTCCTCAGAAATGTCCACGGACCAAACCCGACAGACACGGTCCGAGGCGGCAAGGGGAGGCTCAGAAGGTGCATGTGGGTGGAAGTGAGAGCACGTGTGATAAGGTGCATGTTACCACATGTGCATGCGGAAGGGACACGCCTGGAGCTCTGTCTGTCACTCGAGAGGGACCGAGAGGAGTGGGGCTGACTCACAAGGGCACGGGAAGGGGCGAGAAGGGATTGATGCAGTCCCTCAGCTGGCCTGTTCCCAAGCTGCCAAAGAGGTCGCCACGTGGGGCGGGGCCTGGGGAAGAGGGCTAGATAGGGGTGTGGTAATTGGGAAGGTACCCAAGTCTAGAAGGGATGAAACACAAGAATCCACCAGAAGGTGGGGGTGGGGATGGGCCCTGCAGCCCAGCTGATAAACATTCTTCCGTGTGTGCGTGTGAGTACGCAGGGCTCGGCTGGCTGCAGAGGTCTTGTCTGGCCTCGGCCATGCAGAGGGTGGTGACATTGAGGCCATCTGGACCTGCAGAGCCCTGCCTGGGAGAAAGAGGAAGGGCTTGGGCAGACGAATGGGACCGGAGGAGGAGCCCCCTCCTCCTGAGTGTTTAGGGTTAAGGGTCTGGGTCTACAGAGCACCTGGTCCCAAGGGAGCACCTACCTCTGAGGAGCACCGGTGGGCCTGGGCTGCTCACGTGTGGGTCTTGGAGACTGAAGAGGGGGCTTTGGCTGGGCTTGCCTGACCAGCCCTACAGAGACAGTAAAAAGTTGGGAGAAGGGCGAGTTGCGGGGGCGTGGAGGCAGGGTGTTAGGAGGCAGCAGCCCAGCCCAGGGCAGACAGGCTGGCTTGGAAGAGGCTGGGCTCAGACAGAGCTCTCGTCCAGCTGCTCTATGAGCTGCGTGTGCTTCCGCTTCTCCAGGATGCGGCTGAGTTCCTCGGCAAAGGAGCAGGGCCCCGCAGGCACGCCATTGTTGCTCTGCCTCAGGAGCACGTAGCTGTTGCCGTTCATCCTCCGCAGCCTGCTGGGCAGCGCCACCAGCCCGTTGGTCAGCTCAGCCGGAGGCGGAGGAGGGGGTGGGGGCGGTGGTGCCGGGGCTCCTTCTCCGGGGATGATCTGAAGGCAGCCACCCTCCAGGCCCCCGGCCCCCTCCCCGTCATCACACTCGTCTTCCTCTCCAGGACACTGGCCTGAGACCGTCTGCAGCTGCACAGCAGAGCCCCCTGCCCGGCCAGCCCGGCCCAGCGAGTACTTCCGTCGGCGCCCTCCTCTGCCTCCCCGCAAACAGGCCACGTAGAGGAGGGAGAAGGCCAGGATAAGGCAGAGGCTACCAAGTGTGGCAATGGCCAGCACGTAGAGCAGCCTGACGTCGGGCTCCAGCTGTGCCGCAGACGTGACGGGAGCTTGTGGAGCTGGGGCAGGCGTGATGGGCCGCACCGTGAGGCTGTAGGAGGCCAGCAGCGTGCGCAGGCCGTTCTCCTCGGCGTAGCAGCCGTAGTTGCCACTGTGCTCTGGCTGGGTGTCTGTCACCAGCAGCCCGTCCACCCCCACGCGGTAGCCATGCTGCCCATCGCTCAGGCCCTTGCTCCCATTGAGTAGCCACAGGGCCCGGGCCAGGTTGGATGGCTGGTCACACGGCAGGAGGACGTCATCGCCGCGGAGCACAGAGCGGATCTTCAGTGGTGGTGGTGGCCCTGGGGAGGAGAGGGAGATCAGCACCTGCCTGTTTAGGGAGGGCGTTGAAGGTGGCAAGCCAAACCAAGTCACTGCCCAGTCCTGGCATCCCGCACGGACCCTGGAACCACAGTGACAGCTGACCAAGCACTCATGCTCCCGGGCAAGAGTCCCCTGAGACCTTCACAGGAAGCAGGCAGTCCCGTGGGCCCTGTTCCCTTCTCTCCATGTGCTCTCAACCTCTCCTGTACTTCCAATTCTGCCATCTGCCAGTGACGCCCGATCTCAGCCTCCAGCTTGGACCTCTCTCCAGACTGGAATGTCTGCCATGTGCTGGGCCTTCCTCAAGGGGTCTGGGGGCGCCTCACTCAGGCCGGGTACACCCAGTTCTTTCCTTGAACTGCACCACCAGCTACCTGACTGCTCAAGTCAGAAAGTGGGGAGTCTCCCTTGCCTGCCTTCCTCACTTCCTTATCCAGCCCTCACCAAGATTCTGCTTCCAGAATCCATCTCAGACCTCATTTCTCCCTGCACTGCCATCAGCCCACTCTGGCCCGTTTCACCCCATTCTCCACACGGTGGGAAGGTGATGTTTTAAAACCACAGCCGGGGAGTGGGCACTTGGCACAGTAGGTTACTTTGCTGCCTGGGGAGCCTGCATGCCGTTCAGAGTGCCTGGTTGGAGTCTCCATGAGCTTCCTGCTTATACTCATCCTGGGAGGCACAGATGCTGGGGGGCTTGGGTCACAGCCACACCCACGTTCAAGACCCGGACTGAGTTCTGGGCTCCCGGCTCGGCTGGCCCCAGCCCTGGCTATCGCGGGCATTTGGGGAGTGAACCAGCAGATGGAAGATCTCACTTTGTCTCTGTCTATCTGCTTTTCAAATAAAATGAAACAAAAAGAAAAACTAAAGAGAAAAACTACAAATCAGATCACACCACGCCTCTGCCCAGACTCTTCAGATTTCCTGTTGCTTTTCAACACGGTCCTTCCACTTCTCCAGCTCATCTCCAGGTGCCGACATGCCAGGCTCCCTCTGGCTACTCTGCCCTCTGCCTCGGTGCTGTTCCCGACCCCACCGCCCTCCTTTTCCCTGGTTAACTCTTGTGGGAGACGGCATAGCACAGTGATCAAAAGCACAGACTCGGGTCAGCCTGTTTGGGGTCAGGTTTGAATTCTGCCCCTGTGGCTCGATACTTGAACACCTGAGCCTGGAACTCCTTGCCTGTGCCTCCGAGAGGTTGTCCCTCAGGATAATCGCGGCACCTCTCACAGGAATGCTGTGCGGAGCCTCGAGATCGTGCGAGCAGGTGCGTGGTCCGCGCCTAGCACATGGCGATGCATTTGGCTACGGTTATTAACTTCTGTTCTTCCTTCAGATGTCAGCTCTGTAATCTGATCTTCCTGAACCCACTTCATAGTTGTTAATTATTAGTATTACACTGAGTTATTTGCCCACCCACTGGAGCAGTGCCCCCGACTAGCACTCACAGACACACCCAGAAGGGACGCACTGCACATCTTGACCCTGTGAACTCCTCCGTATCTTCTTTGGGCAATAAACGTCTGCTCAGCACCTTCAGCCAGGCTCTAGGCCGGGTCATCCTCGCCAAGAGCACACAGACACAAACATGACACGCAAATGACAATACACGGCAGATGCACCCCCCAGAAGTGTCGCTCACCTGTTTCCCTGCTGCCCTCGCATCCTCGGTTTCCCCTCTCCATGTCCTGTATCAGTGCTGTCCTGGGGGACAGAAGATCAAGGTTCGGAACAGGGGAAGTGGGCTTCCATTTCCCCAGGGCAAGGGTCGACCAGGTTGTTAGCGATAATTCGCCCCCACCCCACCCACTACAGCCTCCTCCACTCAGGCCATATGGAACCCGCACCACCCCCCGGCAGCCCTGGGACCTGTTGGCTGTGGTGGTGGCTGCCTTGCAGGCATGGGTGCTGGGGTCCCAGCCACAGTAGGGGTCCCGGGCCAGGATGCAGTCATAGCAGGTACGGTAGCGGGAGCAGCTGGACAGCGGTAGCTGGATGACTCCGCTAGGGGCCCCCACGTAGAGGCTGTGCTGGGAGAGAGTGAGCACGGCTGGTCGGCAACGCCCCCTCTCCCACTTGAGAGACACACACCCAGCCTCTGCCCAGGTCCCCACTCCCTCCCGCTTTCCAGGCCACATCGAGGGTCAGAAGTCAAGGGCTACCTGCACTGGAGAGATGACCAGGTTCTCCACAGACTGGGGCTCACTGAACACTTGGGTCTCCTCAATTATGTGCATCCCAGAGCCCAGGACCACGGCCTTATGGATCCAGCCGTCAGCTGGCACAGGGAAGGCAGAGGGTCAGACCGCAACAAGGGGCTCTGCTCCCGGCACCCACAGAGGCCTCACGGGACAGCCCAGGAGTCATGAGCTCAGGGGCTCCAGCAGCATTACTGATCAGGGTCAACAGAGGTGAGGATGCGGGTCAGAAGCACCTGTGCCCAGAAACAGCAGGTCATAGGTGGGTCCCGCCGGCGTGGTGACGGCTGTCCCGGCGAGGTGTGTGTAGCGCACATTGCGCTTGAGCAGCAGTGGCCGTCCGCGCGTGGGCACCACGGGCCGAGCCATCAGCGGGTGCAGCTTCACAAAGTCCAGGACCAGGGACGGCAGGTCTTGCGACGAGTTGTAGCCTCTGCTGCGCAGGGAGTCTGTGATGCACTGGCATGGAGGAGGGGCTGGTGAGATTCAGGGCTCCGCCCCCTGCCCGCCCTCTCCTCAAGGGTGGTCCCTCCTGCCCCGCCCACGGGTCTGTCTGTTTAGCACTGGCCCCAGGCCTGGGCACTTACTGAGCCAGGCCGGGGCTCAGGCACTCCACCCTCGTAGCGGCCCCAGCGCCGGGCACCATCCTGGTACTCCATGAAAGGGCCTGCGAAGACGGCCTGCACCTCGGCCAGGTCATAGCGGCAGATGGCTGAGGCCTCCAGGGTCTTCCTAGGAATGGGACATAATGGAGGGGGCTGGGTCACACTGAGCGGGGCCCAGTGTTGCCATGGCAGGCCCACAGCGGCCTCTGGCCCTAGGCTGGCCTGCCAGTCTCACCTTGCCACCAGTCCTCCCCACCATGGGTCCTGTCTCATCCATTTTGATCTCTTTCCCAGGGCCTGTGCTGGCCCAGCCCCTCGCCTCCCCACTGTCCCTGCACTGACCATTGTGTGGTCAGCGTGAAGGCCGCGTAGAAGTGCGTGCGCGCTGAGGCCTCCGCGTCCAGGCTGCAGACCGCACGCAGAGTCTCATACTGGGGGATGTGGCAGATGAGGCGAGCCTTCAGGAAGGTCGTCCACTTCTTCTGCAGGATCTTCTTTCCTCCCAGGTCTCCCTGGGGAGGCAGAGGCACGGGGTCAGGGGTCAGGAGCCAGGATCAGAGGTCCGGCCTTCACCCCGGGCCCCCAGCTGCAGCCTTTCCCACCTTGCACACCCGGGCCACACGGGCCACGCGGTGGTTGCTGCGGCTCTGAGAGAAGCTGCTGGAGCTCTCCTCGGCAGTGCGCTCCGTGAAAAAGTAGTAAACCTTGTCATCGTCGCCCACGGCGCTGGCCTCGCTCTCCCGCACCAGGACGGAGAACACAAACTCAGCATCTGCAGGGCCGGGCAGGTCAGGCGGCTGCTGAGACAGGCATGGGCCCCGGCCCCTCCCCTCCCCGGACAGCACACAGGAATGGAATGGACAGGCTCACCTGGGGCTTTGGGGGATGGCTGCCCAAGGAGTAAAAAAAGAAGAAATAGTTTCCTCCCCCGCATCCTCCTAACCATTGAGCCAGTGCATCGGTGCCTCCTCGGTTCTCAGAGAGTGTGGGTGGCGGCTCCGGCGGATGTCAGGGATGCTCCGGAATTCGTACCGCGTGGCTGTGTAGAGGCCTCCGTCTAGAGCAGGGACATGCCAGGCCGGGAGCCACGTCATAGGCAGCAGACCACAGGACACACGTAAATGGCAAGTCCTGGCTCTGAGACCCCCGTCCCAGGAACCGTGCTGAGAGCCTGCTCACCAATGACAAGGCCTGTGAAGCCACGGGCTGGGTCATAAGGACACTTCTCCTTCCCCTCCTCGAAACTGGTTGGCAAAGTGAAGGCCTCAGCATCCTGCAGGACAAGAGGCCAGCAGTCCATCAGTGGTCCCAGGCACACATAGTGGAGCCCAAGTTCAGACCAGTCTGGAGTCAAGGTCAAGGGTCAGGCATCTGGGCTACAGGAATGCATACTCACAATGGCTGCACAGAGGGGCTGGAAGGCGTGGGTCCCACATGCATAGAGGTGGGTGGCATTGAGCCGCTGTAGGAATCGCACATGGTTGAAGCACTCTGTCTGCGGGACAAGGTGGGGGAGGCGGTGAGCCCCCTGCCCCTCCATTAGTCTAGCTTTTTTTTTTTTTTTTTTTTGATGGGCAGAGTTAGACAGTGAGAAAGAGACAGAGAGAAAGGTCTTCCTTCTGTTGGTTCACCCCCTAAATGGCTGCTACAGCTGGTGCGCTGCACCGATCCGAAGCCAGGAGCCAGGTGCTTCCTCCTGGTCTCCCATGCGGGTGCAGGGCCCAAGCCTTGGGCCACAGCAGAGAGCTGGACTGGAAGAGGAGCAACCGGGACAGAATCCGGCATCCGAATTGGGACTAGAACCCGGGGTGCTGGCGCCGCAGGTGGAGGATTAGCCTAGTGAGCCGCGGCACCGGCCCATTAGTCTAGATTTGTAATATGATTATTCCCCCTACTTGTAGGGCAGTTCCTTCCAGGACTCCCATGGGCCTTCTCATTGCCCAGAACACAGAATACTCCCTGGAACTTGCTGTCCATGGCCGCCCAGAGATGACATGGCCCTCTTCTCTCCTGTAGTCCTCAGATAACCTCACTCCACTTTGCCAGCCTATGCATCTCCTGCACTTCCCCTACCCCAAGTGTAGGAGCTCCCACCACCCTGAATTACTTCTCTCCCATTGACTCCTTCTCTATAATGCTCCCCCTCCCCGCCCCATCCTGGAGCTTCACACCCTTCCCAGGGTGAGACCACCAAATCCATCCCCAGGCCCAGCTCTCTCTCCACCTGATAGTTGCAGACCCTTCAAACTCAACTCGTCAGAGAGCAAGCTTGCCGCCTCCCCAGCCTGCATCTCCCCTCCTAGACCTGCTCAGCCAGTCCGTCCCACCTTGCTCCTCCATCCATCCTGTTACTCAGGCCAGAAACCGGAAGTCATCCTTGTGCTTCCCACCCCTTCACCCCCACACTCAGTCCCCCTCCATGACTCATTCCTTGTCCTAAATGGCTTGTAACTTGGTCCACTTGGCCTTCTCCTCTACCTCTGCCTTCCACTGCAGCAGCCACCTGGCAGCTCTCCCAACACTCCACTGCTCTTTATAAAAACTATTCAGTGAATGAAGAATACATGCATGCAGTACAAGCTTCAAAAAGTATGGGGCAGGTGCTTCCAAAAGTGGTGCAGCAAGTTCACTGCTTGGGATGCCCACCTCCCATACTGAAGCACCTGGTTCGAGTCCCAGCTACCTATGGTGCTTCCTGCTAAGTTGCCTGGGAATCAGTGGGTGATAGCCGAAACACTTAAGTTTCTGCCATAGGGGCTGGCACTGTGGCCTAGCAGGTAAGGCTGCCGCCTGCAGTGCCAGCATTCCATATGGGTGCCGGTTTGAGTCCCAACCATTTCTCCACCAATCCAGCTCTCTGCTATGGCCTGGGAAAGCAGTAGAAGATGGCCCAAGTCCTTGGGCCCCTGCACCCACATGGGAGACCAGGAGGAAGCACCTGGCTCCTGGCGCAGCGCCGGCCGTAGCAGCCACCTAGGGGGTGAACCAACAAAAGGAAGACCTTTCTCTCTCTCTCTCTCTCTCTCTCACTGTCTAACTCTGCCTGTCAAAAAATAAAAATAAAAAAAATCTCTTTTTTTTAAAAAAAGTAGTACAATTGCTCTTATTAAAAAAAAAATTCAAGAAAGTGCAAAGGAATATGTTGTCAACAGATGGTTTCTTATTCATCCCTGTCTCCCAGGTCGGCTGCATAGACAGCTGCTGTTACCATTGTCTGCAGTTTCCTTCCAAGAGATTCTAACCATCAACACACCTTTGCTCCCCTCCCACGAATGTGAGCCACCAGTGCCCTGCAGGGTCCCCTGGCCCTGCACTCCTGGGCTCTGCCCCTTTTGGGGGCCTCACTCCCCTCTCCAGCCACGCTGGCTTTCTATGTCCCTCAGAAGCTGGGAGCTGCTGCCTACTTCACCTCTTTGCCTTGTTAATGCTTCCTCCTTCTGTATGCAGGGTTGGAATCTACACAGGCCTCTTTGTCTCCTCCCACTCCCTCTCCCTCTGCAGCACCCAGCCCCTGTCCTGCCTACCAGCTGTTCAGGCTCCTCTCTGACCCATACCATGCCTTCAACCTCCCCACCACTTTTCCCGCCTCCAGACTTCACCCTATTTTCCTCCATCCAGTGCCTGGGGCCAGGTCGATATTCCTAGCAGTATCACTGAAAATGGACATTCCTCGGAACACGCTTTGGGAAACATTCTCCTGATGCCTTGTAGCCCGGTGCGGTCCAGGGAGCAGCACATCAGTGTCATCTGGGAGATCCTTGGAGCTGCACACCCTTGGGGCCCACACTGTGGCATAGATTACACCTCCTCCTGCAGTGCCAGCATTCCATATGGGTGCTGGTTCAAGTCTCAGCTGCTCCACTTTGAATCCAGGTTTCTGCTGTGGCCTGGGAAAGCAGAAGATGGCCCAAGTCCTTGGGCCCCTGCACCCACATGGGAGACCCAGAGGAAGCTCCTGGCTCCTGGCTTCGGGTTGGTCCAGCTCTGCCGTTGAGACCATTTGGGGAATGAACCAGCAGGTGGAAGATCTCTCTCTCTGTCTCTTCCTCTCTGTCTGAACTCTGCCTCTCAAATAAATAAATATTTAAAAAAGAAAAAGAAAAAGGAAAAAAGAACTGCACACCCTTGTGCGGCCTCCAGGCCTCCTGAGTGAGCATGCGCATTTAGGGTGGACCCAGCTGATTCACACGAACATTAAAGTCTGAGAGCCTCTTTAGTATCCAACCGTGACCCTCAGCCTTCTAGGGCCGGGGTTCCTCCTGCCTCACCAGCCGTTTCCTACCCATGCTGCACCAGGAGGCGGCCTTTCACAGCCCCCTGGGCTGCCTCTCTGAACTGCAGCTGTCTCACCAGCACCCCAGACTCGCCGAATAGGAGTCCCTGGGCTGGGGCCCTTGGGAACGTGTTGGTTTTAGCGCTCTCCAGGTGGGTCGGGTACTAGCCAGACACGGGACTCCTGTGGCCGCCCATAACTTCAGCCAGGAAGGGCTGACCCGTCTCTAACAGCCCTCCATGGAATGACTGGGTACTGAGCTGCTTCTCAACCAAAGCCTCATCTTTCTTGTCTGTAAAATGGGGTGTAACACTACTTCACAGGTTACTTGAGCACAAGGCAAGGCAACAGGGAAATCACTTATAAGAGGCCACTTATTGCTATCATGATTATTATTTGGGAGCCCCGAGGGGATTAAGATGCCATGACAGGCCAAGCGAACAGGCCACCACATGGTTGGATTAGATGTGCTGTGCCCAGGGCTCTACTCCAGCAACGCTTACAATGTTTACTGTGAGTGACTAGCGGGTCTGTGTCCCCACGAACCCTGGAAGCCCCAAGTGAAGGCGAGGCAGAAAGCAGTGGAGGACAGGGCAGACCACGTACCTGGTTGTTTTTCCCTTTCTGATGGCATTTGCTTTGCATCTCTGGGGAGGCCTCCCAGCGGATCTGGGGGGGATAGAGGGAAGGGGCTGATGCATTGGCTCCAGCGGCTGTTACTCATAGGACCAGGTGATGGGAACCCAGGGAGCAGGGGAAATGGGTGGGGAGGAATTTCAGGCGGAGCACTGGGCGCAAGGCAGGCCTGCGCTGGGCCGAGCGGCACCGTCCATGGAGGCTGACAAGGTTTCCAGGGAGCCGGGTGAGGCTGGAGCCGCTGTCGGCTCCAGGTTCCAGAGACTGACCTCTTTGTGAGCACCATCTCCTATGTCCTGGGCGCTGAGAGAGAACAGGGCGCCTCGGGCTCCCACCAGCAGCCTCCCCGAGGCCTCTTCCAATAGCAGCGTCGAGTAGTTCTGGGCCTGGCCCTTGAAGTGCCGGGTCCCGGAGAGCTCTGCAGAGAGTAGGGCAGAGGGCCCAGCTGCAGCTGCAGGGCTGCCTCCCCTCCCCAGCCCAGGCTCCCACGGCCTTCCCAGGTTGAGGGTCTAACCTTCATAGGGGATGGTGGTCCGAGGGGTGGCATCCAGCTCTCTGGATGGACGTCGCACGGAGAGTCCAGGGACTGCGGTTGCTAGGAGGAAGCTCAGAAGGGTGGGCCAGAGCCTCCCCAACATCTTCCTGGGGAGGCCCAGACCAGCAGGACCCCCAAGGGGAGCCGGGGCCAAAGTCGGGGGGGTGGGTAGGTGCGTGAAGGGAAGAGCAGTCACAGGCGTCAAAGTGCGGGGAGGCCAGGTGGAAAGTCAGGGGTCATGAGGCCATGGGGTCAGGGGTCATGAGGCCATGGGGGTCAGGGAGTCATGGGGCCAGGGGGGGTCCTGGAATGGGGGGGACATGGAGTCACAGGGTTGTGTGGCCATGGAATCCCAGCGGAGAGGTCACAGCGAGGGATGGAAGGCAGACTCCATGGGGACAGGGAGCCGTGGAGTCACTCAGGGGCTGCAGGCTCCTGGTGGGGTCGCCCTGCCCCCGGCAGCAGGGCTAGTCTGGTTCTCTGAGGTCGCTTTTCTGAAGGGTAAAGGAAAGACACAAACACACAGAGGGGGAAAAGCCCAGTTGTTTGATCTGCATGTGGGCAGAAGATTGACCGCAAGACCCAGACCTCAGGGGGCACTCCAGGGGGGAAGTCGGTGTCCACAGAACTCCCACACCCTCATGGGCTCCCGGCATTCTGCCCAGCTTTCTCTTGGGATGCAGAGGGCTGGAGTGGAACTCATCTTCCTTACAAGACCCTCGCCTGCCCCAGCCCGCCCCAGGCAGCAGGCCTCCTCTGGCCCCACCTCGGTGGAGCTGGGGCTCTGAGAGGGAATGCCTGCTCCTCCCTGCAGTGAGCCCCAAACAGGCACAGCTGCTGCCCCTGCGGCCTGCAGGACGGCCTGGCAGAGGTGGGCAATGGGCCTTTGTGAATTTTGCCCTGTTTTCCCTTTGTTTTTTCTTCTCCCTGGCCTGAGAGCTCCCTCTGGAATTTCTCTTTAATTAGACACTTCTCCTCCTCAGCATTCCTCTCCGAGGGGGTGCACATCGCTGCCCTGCCCATGCGAGTCTGTACTGCACCTTCTGGCTAGGCTTCCCCACGTGTCCCTGCCTGCAAGCAGGCACTCACAGGCCCGGGGGCTGGGTATCTGGGGCCCCCAGACAGGTGTAATGTCTGTGCAGAAGGCTGGAGTGTGTGCAAAGCCAGTTCACTGAGACAGAAGCAACAACTGAGGAGCTCTTGGCCACTTGCCTGGCACGTCTTGGGGACCACTACCACCTCAGCTCCCTCTCCGAAGCTAAGCAGTTGGGGCTGGGGTGGGGGTAAGCCGCAGGCCTCTCCAACTTTGGAGGGGCTCCTGCGGCTCCCTGAGCTGTGCTGGGTGTGGAGGAGGCCTGACTCACTCCATCTCACAGACACCCACGGGCAGGGTCAGAGGTGCCACTGTGTCTCCCCTCCCTTACAGGTCAAATATTAACTATCTGGCCTTGAAGAGAGGGGAGGGATCAGGAGCTGGCCAGACGGATAAGAGGAATTTGGAGAACTTATTTAAGAGAAGAGGTAAAGGCCAGCCCCATGGTGGACAGATCCCAGTGCCTAAGAGGAGAGAAGAGTGCCCCAGACCACAGAAAGGCTACCAGCTGCTGGTCTGGGGGCCAGGGCAGCAGGAGGATCCAGGAAAACTGCCCAAGCTCCACCTCTCCCGGGGAGGCACACCTGTTTACCTTTGGGGCCTCCTATTTGCTCAGCACAGAAGGCAGGGTGGGGGGGTGGAGGGAGCCTTATCACTAGGAATCAGTCCCTAGGATTGGGCAGAAGGAACACACCCCAGATTCGAGGCACCACTCAGAGTGTGGTACATGGCACGCGCACACAGGTTCTGAGAAAGGTGATGTGCACGCACACAGGTACACACACATGGGCTCACAAGGAGGGCTGTGAACAGCCGTCCACACACATACACCGAGAGGGAGGTTTGTGCACACACATGCACAAGGAGGGTCATGGCCACACACAGCTATGCATACTCAGAACATACAGCCCCGGAGGTTGACACAGGTGGGTTTATATGACTGTACATGTACTCAACAGGAGTGCTCTGCACATACACACACGTGTATGGGGACACGCACCCAAACCTGTTGATCAAATGCTTCAGTACATGTGTGTTCACAGAGTCCCAAACACAGTCACATCCATGTAGAAACAAACAAGCATGCATATCGGGGTCTAGCTCTTGCTGCAGGCTTGAAGGCTGCCGGTGTCCACTGGGGTGAGATGCAGAGCAGAACCCTGCCTCTCTTCCAGAAAGTCCCAATTCTAAAGCCAGATTCCAAGTGTGTGTGTTGGAGGAGGGGAGGGGAGAAGAGGATGGGAGGGGATGCGGGGTGGGGGGTGGGGCTTCTGACCAGGGATTCCCAAGGCCATGCTGCAAGGGAGGAAGGGGTAACTAACTGAGGCAGGGGGAGGCCGTTGGCTTTAGCAAAGGAAACACGGAGGGGAACGGGTAACTTAGCTCTCCTCTGCCCCCATGTATACTGCAGTTCTTAGATAAGGGAGTTGGGCTGGTGCTCGCAGCCCCTATTTAACCTGTTGGGAGGGAGGGTGGAGCTAAATGGGCGGGGCGGTGCATGCCATCCCCCTCCTCCCATGGCAAAGCGGGTTCAAGGTCTCCAGTTCACAGCCCACACCTCACCCCGAGTTCCAGTTAGGGTTCCTCCCCAGCGCCAGCCTCGTGAACTCTGACCACCTTGTCTATTAAATCCTAGGATGAAGGGAACTGGGGCGGGGAGACCCCTCTCAAAAACAGGATCAATGGAGGATCAGCAAGCTCTCGACCTTCATTCCAGATGTCCATCCGCCTGGCCTGGGTGGTATCTCCCCTTGCCCAGCAGGATGGCAGTCCCTTTTGCTTGAGAGAGCCCCTCCCCCGCCACCCCCTTTCTCCACCATCCTGGGCGGTCCGCGGTTCTCTGCTTTCGTCAGGTCTAACCTTAGTCTCTACTGCTGCAGCCCGAGGACAAGCTCTCCTTCCATCCCGCTGTCGCCGGGAGACGTGACCCAGATCCCAGGGAGCACGGTTCGCCACGCGGGCCCCCGCCCCGTGCCGGTCCCCGACTCCACCGCGGCGGGTCTGCGCCCAGCGCGTCCCGAGGCCTGGCCCGTGCCCCTTTAGAGCCTATATACGGGGCCGGGGACTCGGCAGTGAGAAAGGCCTGGCTCAGTTTGGGGTGGAATGGATGTGGGGAAGGCCTTGACTGGCCCCAGGCCCAGCCTCGACCCCCGGCCCCGCCACCGCCCGCACTCCCCGCCTCCCTCACCTTTGCGTTGGGATCCGGGGCCATAGAGACAGCGACGCTCAGCTCCGCCGCCCCACAGCACCAGCTGCGGGAGGAAGGGGCTGCGGCCGGAGGCGGGGCAGGGGTGGAGGCGGAGCCGGGGGTGGGGCGCGGCCTGGGAGGCGGGACCGACAGGGCAGGGTACGAAGGGCGCAGCTCTCTTCTTTCGCGCCCCCCACCCTAGCACAATAAATATGGTCAGAGGGCACCCTGCCCGCCCGCGGACATCTGGTGTCCCCCTCCTCCAGGCGCGGCGGCCGCGGTATCGCCCTCTGGTGGTGGCCTCACCGCCCTGTGCGCCCTCCACAGGTTTCTAGCTCGCCTGCCCCTCACCTCTCTCCTCTAACTTGCCTCCCGCGGCGACTTGGAAATCCTCCCCCTGGGGTCTTTCTCTTTCCGAGGGCTTCTGGCCTGTCCTTTCACCTGGGCCTCACTTCCTGCGCTCCTGACACCTCTCTCAGCTCTCGGCCTAGGCTGGGGCGGGGGCGGGGGCGGGGCTACAGGTGGAGACCAAGCATTGGAGCAGCACAGCGTATGGATTCCCAGATAACAGGCCCCTGCAGTCTGGCTGTTCAGCTGAGTAGGTGAGATGGGGTTAGACCCCTGAAGGGGATTAAGCAACAGCTTTGACCTTAGGCGCACACAGAAAATGTTCTTTCCTGGATAAATGAGCCACAACCTGGCCACTCACCAAATCATAGCCTTAACTCTGGTTCACCTCTGGACTTTGGTCAAACACCTGCTTTCCCCTCCAGCTCATCTTGAACACGGTTCTTACTCCAGCACCCTGGGCCCTCCTAGGCAAATACGCTGTGCTGCCCAAGTCCAATCACTTTCCCCAGCAGCAATGAGGAAACCCTCTCAGAATCTACTCCCCCGCTCAAACTCAACTACAGTGATCCTCTCTCAGTCCCTGTCCCGGCCACTGCCCAGTACTGTGAACCCAGCTCTAGGATCTGAATGAAATCTGGGCTCTGGCTGTGACCCAGCCTGGTCCGCCCCGCTTCCCCTGCCCCCCGACAGTACTGATGTATTCTAAGAGAAGAAAGAGGAGGACCACCTACATAACTGATTGTCGCAGGCGCCTAGGAGTCTGAAAAGGATTTGAGTGGCATATTTAACTGAGGGGGCCCGTTTCTGGATTCCCCAAAGCTTACACAGTTTGGCACTTAATCCTGTACAATCTCGTAGTTTGGATTGCTGTGTGTGACTGCAGACTGCTAGACAGCAGGGCTCACATCACACTTCCACCGCCCCCCAAACACCTCTCCCAGCACTCTGCAAATAGGCTGTGCGTGTGTGCAAGGGGAGGGAAGTAGCCAGGAGAAATGCTTACATTGTATACATACACTTTATGTTCAGCTTTATTTATATTTTTTGTGCACTCATCTCACCCTGAAGAATAGCCCCATTTTATAGATGGGAAAGCAGGCTTTAAGAGGTTAAAGTGATCTGCCTTGAAATTTATTTTTGTGTTTATATAGAGGACAGTCAAGATGGGAAGTCCGAGGAGGAAGCAGGGTAAGCCTGAAGGGGCAATGTCATTAGCAGACACAGAAACATGCAAGTTTGGAGCAGGCATGGAGGTGTTAAGCTGCTGTTTGGAATGCCTGTACCCCATATCTGAGTGTCAGCCCAGGTCACAGCTACTCTACTTCTGACCAGCTCTCTGCTAATGAGCCTGGGAAGCAGAATATTGGAGTCCTTGCCACCCCTGTTGGAAGGAGACCTGGATGAAGTCTGGCTCTTGGCTAAAGTGTGGCTCAGCTCCAGCTGTTGTGGACATTTGGGGAGTGTACTAGTGACTGGAAGAGTTCTCTCCTTCTCTTTCAAATAAATAAACCTTAAACAAAGTGCCAGGAGCTGGCATTGTGGCAAAGCAGGTAAAGCTGCCACCTGCAGTGCTGACATCCTACATGGCCGCCAGTTCCAGTCTGGGCTGCTCCACTTCGGATCCAGCTCTGCTGTGGCCTGGGAAAGCAGTGGAAGACGGCCCAAGTGCTTGGGCCCCTGTACCCATGTGGGAGACGCAGAAGCTGCAGGCTCCTGGCTTCAGATCCGCTCAGCTCTGGCTGTTGTGGCTATCCAGGGAATGAACCAGTGCATAGAAAATCTCTCTGCTTCTCTGTAACTCTGCCTTTCATGTAAATAAAATAAATCTCTTAAAACAAGTACCAAATTTGTGCATGGACTTGTACAGCAAAGGGGACTGGTGGAGAGGGAGAAGGCAGGAGGCGTGGAGAGTGTGTGAGACTGCTTAGACAAGGGGGTTCATAGCAGGAAATAAGGTGTCAGAGTCAGCTAGTAGTTTGGAAAAGAAGAAAATCTTGAATGAGCTAACAGATTAAAGAGTCTGAGCTGGGAAGATCAGCAGAAACATGGCTGAGAAACACCAATCTACAGTCCCTGTGGGAAAGTGGGTTGGAGACAACAGTGACTGCTGGCCACAGTACTAGCCAGGAAGGTAAACCACAGGGGCTCAGTGGGCTAAGGCACAGCTCCCCAAGTTCTCACAGAACTCTCAGTGCTACTGCCTTCAGGTGCCTCAGGAGCGGTAAGTGGGCCAACATCCACCCTCCCTCTACCAGGCAAGCCTTTCTCCTGAGCTGCTCTCCTGGCAGACGCACAATTTGACACATTTTTCAAATTTGTAATTTCAATGCCAACTTCCAGTATAACACTTGCTACACTGTCATTGGGCAGTTACTTCTGACAGTGAAGATTCAGACCACAATCCATTTCCCTCTGCTGTCCTCCTCCTTACATCTCTGAGCTCAATGAAGGTGTCACATGTGAAGGCAATTAATGGAATCTTCTATAGGAAGCCCTTTAATGGACATATTCCTTTGTGCAAATCAAGCTGATAAATATTTGAGGACAACACTTGCAGCAGGAAAAAAGGAGACTCAAAATCAAACCAAGAAATGAATGAATCCTACCCGAGCTATGAACTTGAGCCTGGGACCCTGGCAGGTGAAGTCTGCCTGGTTGCTCCTCTGCGTGGCTGTGCAAAGATGCCATTTGGAAACCTTTGCTGTACTTCACACACACAGAACACAAATGAGTTCTGTGTTTTGTGTGTATGTGTGTGGCTGTTCTCCCCAACTCCCATCAGAAGTGGCTGAGGGTAGTGCTGGCTGTCCTCAGCATGGAACCTCAACTGCCCACCTGCCAGGGGTCTTGGGGCTCCAGGCTTTGCACAGAGCCCTGTAGTAGGGATCCTTCTGTAGCAGGGGAGGCAGGAGGTGTGAACTGAAACTTGAGCAGGCAGCTCTTGTCCTGCTTTCTGTTCCCCAGGCAACATTTCCGTCTCGTCTGCCATCTCCACCTCTGGCCTGCCCAGCACCTTAGGCAGTGTGATCTTTATTTTGGCCACATAGGCAAGTGTACTTCAGAAGGGCTCGTCACCAGTGCAACAACGCTGTGGCCCCAGTGTTCCACAGTGCCTCCGAAGCCTGTTCTGCCTGTTCCGATTTCCTCCTAGCCAGTCCTCTTGGAGTCAGATCCAAAGCTGGGCCTTCTGGTTTGCCCTCTTTTGACTGCAGCCTGAGGAATGGCTGGCAAGGAAAAGGGAGTGCCAGGCACGGCCACAAACACCGGAGAACTGCCACCCACCGCTGCTTTCTCAGCTCAGCATTCTGGGTTTCAAAAAAAAGGTCAAAAACCTAATTTTTAATTTATTTTTACCAGCAGACACAGAGGTGAACAGAGAGGCCTCTGGAGCTCCTTGTGCTGAAGAAATAGAACACACTTACAACTCTAATTTTTGGAGACAGGTAGAATACTGCTAAGGCTCTGGAACTTGAGGTCCCTGGAGACCAGCAGGTAAGATGCACATGAGCTCTGTTTGTGTTGCTCACCACTCAATCTTCCCTGAAACCCAGAGTACCTAGAATATAGCAGGTATTCAACAGTTGTTGAATTAACAGCAAATGAGGTAAGAATGAGATTACTCAACTCCTGACTGCAAAGCATACAGTAAATTGTTAAGTGCTTATGTAAAAGTGAACTATGTGCAACTGTGGCTTTATGCTTCTGGAAACAAGAGACACTAAGCAGGAAACTGGAGAACCCAAAGCAAGAGGAACAAAGGAAGAAATCCATGTTTAGAACTAGGGCATGGGGTAAGGAAAGAACAAGGCATTCCAGGTAGTTACTCATCCCCGTTCCCAAACAAATATTATCCAACACATGTTCAAACTGAGAAAAAGCAGTTTAATAACACACACATACATTCATAGGACTTTAAACAAGATGTAGTATAAAATCTTAAAATAAAAAAGGAAAGAGAAATCAGCAATTGCTGCCTGTCGAGGCGCTGGTGGATTAAACGGCTGACAGAATTGCCCAGGGAAAAATAAATGCACAAAGAGGTGCACCAACACTGCTGATGAGAAACCACCATGACAGATCACGCTATCTGTTCCACGTGCCCAGCCGCCTGGGTCCTACTCCTGCGTCCTAGGAGACACCAGGACAGTCATCCTTTAATTCTCCAACTCAGTCCCTCATCAATAGATCATCTCTTAAAATTTTCTTTGTTTTAAGTTTAAGAATTATTCTTAAAGACTCCACACGTAATTACTGGCCAGTCCCCACCAACTATTTGTTTTGATAAAAATAAAAATGCAAGTGCTGCAACTGAGCCTGGATGACAACATACTGTTTTCTATCTTCTACATCTGGGGAGATTTCTGTGGAGTCTAAAGCAAGCTACTACTTGCACTTTAAAACAGAAACAAAATGCCAACCTTCCAGAAGGTGACAAAGGCACCACTGCCATCAGGAGACAGACAGAAAATGTACAAATGCTGTCATTTTGCTGCTACATAGATGCATTTTGTGCATGGAAAGCCTCTTCACTTAACTGGGTATCACTAAGAGAATTCTATTTTCAGATACAAGAAAAGCAGTTTAGGAAAGGCGAACAGTTACACACAAAGGCATAAATACACGTACCTTGATTTTCAGCTTGCAGTAAGGGTAGTAAGTTTGACATACATATTCAGAAAATTAGACAAGGTGATTTTTGGCACAGTAACATTGCCAAATACACACCCATTCAGTGCAAGCTTTGTTTGCCAAGCCCCCACAGTGGCCTGGCATTTTCTGTGCAATGAACATTTTCTCCCTTTCCACTGTCCCATTCATGGGCAATAGCAGCAGAAGGGAGACAAAGCGTGGGGGCAAGAGGGAGAAGGAAAATACTTGATTTAGGAGAAAAAACATGGGCTACTGTGTAAAAAGAGAATCACATAATTTTTATGAGAACCTAAATGCAAATACTGACTGGACTATGACCTGGAGACTGAAGACCTCCACCAGAGTCATAAAGACAAGGGCCTAACCTCATGTCTGGCCATTTGTTTTAAAGGGACAGATGAAGATATTTTTCTTTAACGAAGAAAGACAATTAAAAATAGATTTTTTTCTTACTGGAACTGTTAAATAAAAATATATCAAAGTGGTTTTAAATTTGATGGGCAGTTATCTGTGGAAACTGCAATACAAAAGGGTCACTTAAAAAAAAACCTGAATAACCCATTTGTCCCCCCATTAATGTATACAATTAGAAAATATTTACACACTGTAATTACAAGCAATATAAGCAGTATTTTATACTTTGAGAGTTTGTACACTTTACACAATGCAAAATGAGAAAAATATGAACACTTATAAAATTACACTCAAATAATGTATCTACAAAGTATTAAATTACAGAGTGACAGCCCCCATTGTTGGGCAGATAGATGCCAGAGTTTCAAGTGACTGTCAAATACAACTCTTTGTATCTATCTCTTTAACCACAAGTGGCATTTTGCAACAATACCCTTGAGAGGTAGTATCAAGATAATAATATTCTTACCAGTAAACTCAGCACAGAATAAAAACTTTCATTGGTCTGACTCTTGGAGCCTCCTTCTGCCTGGGCTCTTGGAAACTCCATTAGTCTTCCCTAAAAATCTCTAACTGCCCAATGCTTGACATGAGCTCAAAAGTTACTGATACTATTTCAAATGATAAACTGAAGATAAAAAGTTTTTTACTCTTAAGCCTCAATTTAGAGGTAGAAAGTTTCCAAAATGTATTCCCCCCCCTCGAACCGTAAGTATCAAGTCCGGTTCCTTTCCCCTCCACCACCTTTCCCCCCATGACTGGAGATACTACTAGAGTGCTCAAGAAAGCAGGTCACCCACGCCGATAATGAAACAACAACAAAAAGGTGGCATTCTTTCAGGCAACAAACCCTCCGAAAAGGGACATTCAGGCAACACAGAAATTTTCAGTTGGCTAGTAAGAGTATATTAACTCTCAAAGGCTTCGAAGGGCCGTTGGCCTAAAACCAGATGCACTTCTAACCTTCCACCGTTTAAACCAAAGGATGGCTTTCCAGTGTTTAAGAATTTAGAGCAGCCATGGTTTTCAAGTGCAACAACTCCAAGACACAAGCACATGATTGTGAGCACATGTGCACACGCACGCACACACACATATGTATACACACGCACGCACACAGTATCCCACAGAATAAACACTACCCAGGTCTCTGCCAAAGTTATATACTCAGTGAAACAAGGTTTTTGGAAACCTCCCTAGATTTTTAAGCATTTACTAATATGGTTTCCAAGAGCCAGAATTCTAAGAGTCTAAAATGTAACTAGTATTAAAAAATATATATAAATGCACTTAAAAGAAATACAAAACAAATGCCATAAGGATGTTCTGGCATAAAAACAGAGCCACTATTTTATAGCTTAACCTTTTCCCCTTAAGGGGATCTGACAATATACCAAACTTCCACTTCTTGCCTGTTTAAATGCATTTTAAAAACCTAACCTTTGTAATCTTGAATAGTGAATAAAAACGCATGGGTTGAAACTTCTCTTTGATTTAGAATTACAGGAGAGACTCATGCTTTTTATTACTAAATTCTGTTCTAACCTTTCCCTTACATCCTGAAATAACCAAACAGGAAAATTAAGCCCAACTGGAACTTGATCTTGGTTTCCATGTCCAACTAAAGTCAGTTCAAATTCATTTCATCCATATTTCCTGTGATTATCCAAGTGCCACCATACTACCTAGAAAGAGGTAATTTGTTTCCAATCTAACAAGAGAAGTTACTAAGGGCAGATGAAACATGTGACTACTCACTGCTTCTCCCCTTTTTATAGGACTCTGCTCTTTTAAAGGGGCAGTTGCCTAACAATTAAGCAGATCACATTTCATATCTGCTCCAGAAAGGGCCATTACCAGCTTCATACTAGGTATTCAAGTGGCATATCTGCTGCACATTTTCCTAGCATCCCACTGGATTCTGCAGCAATCCCTTCTACTCCTTTCAGAAAGGCTCCTATTGAGTTTCTCTTGGTCCACATTATGGCTGCTGCAACTCCTGTTAAGAATCTGGTACCCAGAAGTCATGAAGCTGCCCCTAGAAAAGGAAAGAGGAAAACAGGATAAAGAAAAATTTAATTGGATTATGAATTAATCCTTATAAAACTACTGATCAACAGATAAAACAGGCTTTGATAATGAAAGAAATATAATCTCTATATTATACATATCTAAAAATTAATGGTAATCATTCAAATTTCACATTTTATGGTTAACAATAAAGTATCAAGTAAGTACAGTATACTTTTGTCACCAACTCACACAGGACATGAATATTTAAGGAGATTAAGCTGATTAACTCAAAGTTTTGCCATTAAATTCTTTTCAGTTTTAATGCCACCTCAGCTCAGATGGCCAGCCTAAAAACATTTATTGACATAAGAAACCAAAACAATAACACTTGAGAAGTTTAAGACTTCTCAAAGACTTTTCTAAAAGGTTACACATGCATATCTTACGAAGGACACCCACAGCAAGAGTTAAAATGTCATAATGAGGTTGTATTTCCTAGTTAATATTCACTACTCCTGTGATTTTGTAATAAAACATAAGCAACTTCCCTGGATACTCAAAGTTTGGTCACTGGACCAGCAGTGGTGGCATCAAGGCAATGAAAATACAACACACAGAATGGGAAACAAATATTTGCAAATTATTTGCCTAATAAGGAACTTGTATCTAGAATATACAGATACTTCTTAGACACCATAATAAAAATCTATATAAACGGCTAATAAACACATTAGAAGATATACAATATCATTAGTCAATAGGGAAATGCAAATTGAAACCACAATGAGATCCTACTTTCTATGTACAACTTCAGTGAAAAAGACAATGACAAGTGCTGGGAACAATGTGGAGAAATTATAATACTCATACATTCTGGTGGGAAGAAAAGTCTGTCAGTTCCTCAGAACACAGAACTACCGTGTGCTTCAGCAACTCTACTCTCAGATATGCTCAAGATATTCTCATTTGAAAACATCTATTCACATAAAAACTGATGTTCAAATGTTCATGAAAGTGTTATTTGTAAAAGCCGGGATGTGAAAACAACTCAAACTTCTATCTAATAAATGGATAAATAAAATGTGATACAGCCATATAATGATATCATTTGGCAATAGAAAGGATGTATGTGCTACAACACATATTCATTTATCAATCATTAAATCATTATGTTGAGTGACAGCAGCTAGTCACAAGACTGCAGAGCATATCTCTTTTCCAGGAAATGTCCAGATTAAGCAAATCTATACAGACAAGGTATATTAATGTTTGTCCAGGGCTTGGGAAGAATCAGGAGGAAGTGAGGGGTGGAGGGGAATGGGGAGTGACTTCTAATGGGTATGAGATTTTCTTTCTAGGTGACATATGTTTTAAAATTAGATTGTAGTGACGGCATTCACAACTCTGAATATACTAAAAATCACTATATACTTTAAGTAGGTGAAAAATATGATTGTGAATTATATCTTAATAGTACTGTTAAGAAGAATGTTTCCCATGAAATAACCACCATTTGATGAAATATACCATTTTAAAGTGGGCTCAACCACTTCTGGAAATCAATTAATATAAAGCAAACAAAAATTGAAAAATGTAGACAAAACATGTACATGTATTATACTGGCATTTTTAGTTCATCTTAAGACAATCAGAAGCAAGTGCTCTTCACAGCGTCAAAAGTACCCTTCGGTAAAGCTATGAAGAATCAATAAACTGTTTAATAAAATGACACCTGAGTAGGCCGGCAGTTCTGGATTATTTCCTGCCACTTTCCATGTATCCTGGCAACCAAGTCTTTCACCTTAAAAATAACAAGAGGAGAAGGGATCAGATCAAAGAAATTTTCACCCATAATCAATTTAACACTTAATCCAAAAGATCTAATAGCTGTGACAGGCTCACACTGAACTCAATTTGATTTTTGTTAGGAAAGAGAAAACAAACTGGTGCTGGCATCGTGGAGTACCAAGGTAAAGACACCCAGCCTGCGATGCTGGCATCCCTTATGGGTGCTGGTTCATGTCCCAGCTCTCCACTTCCAATCCAGCTCCCTGCTAATGGCCTGGGAAAAGCAGCAGAAGATGACCCAAGTGCTTGGGTCCCCTGTCACCCATGTGGGAGATGTGGAAGAAGCTCCTGGCTCCTGGCTTCAGCCTGGTTCAGCGCTGGCTGTTGCAACCATTTGGGGAGTGAACCAGCAGATGAAAGATCTTTTTCTCTCTTTCAAATAAAGAAATAAAAAACAAAGGAGAAAGAAAACAAACCATTTATCTTTTGGAGGGGCTTTCAAATCATAGTAATTAACAACATTCCTGTATCAAAAATATTGACTGCTTAGACTCCATTTTCCTATTAGTTATTAAAGATCATCCAGAAAAAACATTTCCTGCCTTCAAAGGAATTTACATTCTCTTTTTCTTTGGGCCATCCTCCTCTGCTTTCCCAGGCACATCAGCAGAGAGCTGGATAGGAAGTGGAGCAGCCAGGACTCCTACGGGATGCCAGCACTGCAGACCTAGTATGGCACAATGGCAGTCCCAGAAATGCACATTCCCAATGTGCAGACTTTTGAATGCCCAGAGGAGCCAGAGAGTGCTCTCAGCCATGGGGCCAAGGCCTTGGCTGTATCTTGCCTTCCTAGCTTCTATCTGAAAGACTCAAGACCATAACAAATGTTTATTTGTTCTCTTTCGCATTATCAGAAAGCCCAAAATTCAAAATCAGTTACTTATCTCCATGTTTCTGCAAAGTACTATGAAATTCTCTTTAAATACCTGGTATATTCCTGCATTTTGAGGTTTAACAAGTCTGTCTGCAAAACTCAAACTTAACCACAAAAACAAACTCCACCACTCCAGATACTTCGGTTTTTTTTTTTTTTTTTTGACAGGCAGAGTGGACAGTGAGAGAGACAGAAAGGTCTTCCTTTTCGCCGTTGGTTCAACCTCCAATGGCCGCCGCGGCCGGCACGCTGCGGCCGGTGCACTACACTGATCCGAAGGCAGGAGCCAGGTGCTTCTGGTCTCCCATGGGGTGCAGGGCCCAAGCTCTTGGGCCATCCTCCACTGCACTCCTGGGCCACAGCAGACAGCTGGCCTGGAAGAGGGGCAACCGGGACAGAATCCGGCGCCCTGACCGGGACTAGAACCTGGTGAGCCGGTGCCGCAGGTGGAGGATTAGCCTAGTGAGCCGCAGTACCGGCCGTTCATTAGCTCTTTTTTTTTTTTTTTTTTTTTGACAGGCAGAGTGGACAGTGAGAGAGAGACAGAGAGAAAGGTCTTCCTTTGCCGTTGGTTCACCCTCCAATGGCCGCCGTGGCCGGCGCGCTGCGGCCGGTGCACCGCGCTGATCCGATGGCAGGAGCCAGGAGCCAGGTGCTTTTCCTGGTCTCCCATGGGGTGCAGGGCCCAAGCACCTGGGCCATCCTCCACTGCACTCCCTGGCCACAGCAGAGGGCTGGCCTGGAAGAGGGGCAACCGGGACAGAATCCGGCACCCCGACCGGGACTAGAACCCGGTGTGCCGGCGCCGCTAGGCGGAGGATTAGCCTAGTGAGCCGCGGCGCCGGCCCATTAGCTCTTGAACATAACTGCTTGAGAAAAGTATTTTAAACAAGTCAAGGATTTTTAAGCTGCTTAAAATGCATGAAGTAAATTGCAACCTCTGTTTTTATCTACACCTAGAGTTCAGCAAATTAAGTTTCTCCAAAACAATTATCAACTTTTCTATTAGAGGCATTTGGAGAGGCATGCTACTCACCTGTTTCGGCCGAACCATCCCCTGAAGTAATTTTCATAGACTACTGTGTCACTCTCCACTCTAAGAAATTAGAGGAGCCCTGCACCAATTTGTGCCAGGCCCTTAGCTTTAAGAAACATAAACCTTGGGCAGTCCCCCTTTTAGCATGTCTGTCAGCAGCAGTCACTACCATCAAGTTGTACAAGCTATTAACTCTAGTCAATATAGGAAAGAATGTATTTTTGAAGCTAGGGTTTCCACTCTAAGGAAAAGAGCTATATCCTACATGTATTTGAAAAGCTGAAATCTGATGCAACTTCATTAGTTGCTCATTTTGATATTTAACTTAAATTGACTAAATACATACACCAAATCCAAATGGGCATCGTTCCAACGACTAACTTTACAGCTAATTAATGTATGATATAAAGTTACAAAGTTGAGCTTTACATGAGATGACTATCCAAATACAAGAGGCAAAAAGGATCAGCTTTATTTAGGAAAGCTAAAATAGAGACCTAGAAGTTTTAAAAAGTATTGTTTCACTTTATGTTTCAGGAAAAACTAGTCATTTCATTCATACAAAGGCTACTTTCCTACTCCAAACTTACATATTTGGCTTTCCTATTGACTTCTGAGTATATAAAACTTTTAAGAAAAAAACTTAATAAGCTTACTGTTGAAATCATTTTTACCCTAGAGTTCAGAGAGGTCACAGAGATTTGTAGAATCATTCTTTTAATGCATTCTTATTCAAATATTCAAAGCATAACAAGATATCAACCATCATAACATTTTATAAACACCATTTCATAACAATATATTTATATATAAACAACAGTTTTTGAAGCTATCTAAAACAAAGGGTTTAATTTGTACAATACAAAAAAATTAAGTATTGGGAGAATTTTTCTCATTTGGTGTCTAGAATTTCAGAACAAAAAGCCAAAAGTGTATTTGCTTTAAGATTTTTTTATTTCACTTTTAATCTAGCTAGAAATACACTGCAGAAACTGATTTCTGTTATTAAAGGAGAAAGGTGTATTTCTACTGATCTTATATATAGTCTTTAAAAAGTTTTTACTTGTTTATTTTACTATTTGAAAGGCAGAGAGAGAGAGAGAGAGAAATCTCCTATGCACTGGTTTACTTCCCGAATACCCACAAAAGCTGGGCTGGGACAGATGAAAATCAGGAACTGAGAACTCAGTCTGGGTCTCCCACATGAGTGGCAGGGATCCACGTACTTGAGCCATCACCTGCTGCCTTCCAGGCTGTACTTACTGAAATGGAGAATACAGCTGGGGCTCAAACTCAAGCACTCTAACATGGGATGCTGGCACCCCAAGCGGTGACTTAACCGCTGCGCCAAATACTCGCTTCCTGTTTTCTTTTTTAAAGAAAGGCTCACATATTTCTCTTCCTTAAATATTATTGTAACCAAGATTAAGCAAGAACAATATATATAAAAAAAAACTTACCTTAGTTCTATAGAAAAGTCTTGCATCTTCTCTAATATCACACTTAACGTGCTTTTCCAAAGCCCCACAGAGTAGCACAAAGTGTTTCTGCGCAAAATAATTGCAAGGGATGACAATAATACTAAACAAATTAACAAAGACTGCAGTTTGAACAACTAAATCATTTAAAAACCTATCATTTAATACTTTTTGATGCTAGCTAGCCAACATATTAGCAGTCATTATCACTGAAAACAGTCACTTTCATGAAAATAAAGCTGTTGGGTTTTGCTAATTAATTTTAAAAATACAAGTTGCTTTAGCTCAGACTAAGTGATATTACAGTACCAGAAATTTGAAGAGCTCTTGCTGTAACAAATTTCCTAAAGGAATATTGAAATAACAGCTAACCTATTTTTTCTTTATGAACAAAGCAAATTTTTATTAATAGTGTATCATACTTACTCCTTTGAAAAATCATGAGGGCACTTTAAAAGTCTGTGATGAATGGAATTAAAATAAAGGCCTTAGGAGAATACTCCAAATGGATGACTATATTAGCTTCCAACCAGGAGAGCAAACATAGTTCTAAGTACAACAGCATTTATAAAAACACATAAAACTTGTGCCCTTACTACTACGCTGAGGAAACAGTATGTTTTTTGGGGAGTAAAAGGTTCAATAAAATTTTATTTATGAACACTGAAATTAGAATTTCACATAATTTTCCTATGTCACTAAATATTATTCTTTTAATTTTTTTTCCCAGAGATTCAAAACCATTAAAACCATTCTTAGCTTGCTGTCACAGAAAAGGTTGTGGATGGGATCTGGCTATGGGCCATAGTTTGTTTTAAAATAAGGGATGGAACAGTTAAGATGTGAACAAAGCGGGTTCATTCATTCCATCAACAGTGATACCTATTTAAAAACAACAATGAACATTACCTACCCGTTGTCCAGAGGAAAAAGAATGAGAACAACTAACTTCACCGATTAAATGAAGAAGAATGTAGGTCAGGTAATATGCCTGTTGGAGAAATGAATAAAACAATACCCATGAATTAGATAAACGTCACTCCAGTTTACACCCTGGGAATGCTGTCCAGGAAGAAGAAAGGATTCGCTAAAGTTAACCAACCTGATAAGAAAGGAAAAGCCAATCACTGAAACCAGGCTTTCTGATTTCTAACTTAAGTGCATCCTTTTTGCCACTTCAAGATTGCCCTAGCACAGGGCTACAAAAAAATACTTACTCCCCTTATTAAATTACTAATAACTACTATTTTTATTAAATTATTAATGCTCAAGATTACTGAAGAACTTCACAACAGCAGTATATTAAAAATATACACTTTAGGCCGGCACCGCGGCCCAATAGGCTAATCCTCTGCCTGCGGCACCGGCACACCGGGTTCTAGTCCTGGTCGGGGCGCCAGATTCTGTCCTGGTTGCCCCTCTTCCAGTCCAGCTCTCTGCTGTGGCCCGGGAGTGCAGTGGAGGATGGCCCAGGTGCTTGGGCCCTGCACCCCATGGGAGACCAGGAGAAGCACCTGGCTCCTGGCTTCGGATCAGCGCAATACGCAGGCTGCAGTGGCCATTGTGGGGTGAACCAATGGAAAAGGAAGACCTTTCTCTGTCTCTCTCACTGTCCACTCTGCCTGTCAAAAAAAAAAAAAAAAAAGAACAAAAAACAAACAAACAAACAAAAAAACCACTTTATAGTTTGCCAGAATATATCCAGTCTCTATATCCAGAAGTGCCTATGCCACCAATCTATGGTTAGGTTTGGAACTGGGACTGGCATTATGGCTCAATGAGTTAAGCCACTGCCTGTGACGCCGGCACTCACATACGAGTGCCAATTGAGTCCTGGCTGCTCTATTTCTGATCCAGGTCACTGCTAATGTGCCTGAGAAAGCAACAGAAGATGGTTCAAGTACTTAGGCCCCTGCCACCCAACTGGAGAGTGAATCAGCGAATGGAAGATATGTGTAACTCTGTCTTTCAAATAAATAAAATAAATCTTTAAAAAAAAAAAAAGATGGCATCAGTTATTTGCATATGTACTCATATTGAGATCTAGCCCTGGATACCTGCTTTTCAAGCTCTAAATGAAGACTGTCATCAATGGTGCCATTTGGTTGTTCAGCCTTTTTCTTCAAGACCATTTTCTTCAACAAATCAGAAGGCTTCATTTGCACAAGATAGCGATGTAGGACTGATATCTATCAGAAGAAAGGAGGCAATGAACACTAAAAACTAAGCAATATAATTGTTCTTTCTTGGCTATATCTTCCCTGTGTATTCTCTGTTCATTATGCCCTTTCAGTTTTCTTTATAATCCAATGTCGTTCATTTCCCTTTTACTTTGATTGCTTAAAAAGGGATTTTAAGAGGCCAGAGCTGCGCCTGAGCAGGTAAAGCTGCCGCCTGCAGTACCAGCATGCCATATGAGTGCCAGTTCGAGTCCCAGCTGCTCTACTTCTGATCCAGCTCTCTGCCAAGACCTGGGAAAGCAGTAGAGGATGGCCCAAGTCCTTGGGCCCCTGAACCCGCATGGGAGACCCAAAAGTAGCTCTTGGCTCCTAGCTTCAGATCAGTGCAGCTCTGGCTGTTGCGGCCATCTAGGGAGTAAACTAGTGGATAGAATACTTCTCTCTCTCTTTCTCTGCCTCTCTGTAACTCTGCCTTTCAAATAAATATTTTTTTTTTAAAAAAAGGAATTTTAAGCTAAAGATTTAGTATTTGTAATTTAGGATAAATGCTTAGGAGACCAAATGACAGAGATCACAGGAAATGCCTTTTCTAGGAAATTATTTGAAAATCAGCTAAGTTGAATCTCCTGGATAAGAATCACTTAACTCTGAAAAGAAGCACTACAAGGGTAAGCATCTGGTACAGCAGTTACAATGCTGCCTGGGATGCCTACATCCCACTGGTTTGCTTGGATGACTCGAGTCCCAGCTTTGCTTCCGATTCCAGCTTCTAGCTCATGCGTACTCTGGCAGGCAACAGGCGATGGTCAAGTACTCGGGTCCCTGTCACCCATGTGGAGACCTGCACACTGAGTTCCTGGCTCCTGGCTTCAGCCTGGCCCAGCCCTGGCTATTGTAGGCATTTGGGGAATGATGGAGATGGGAGATCTCTCTATCTTTACCTTTCAAACATTACAAAGAAGTTGTGGGGGAAAATCACAACTAAATTTTGTAATTTAATGAGTCCGAGGGTTAATCATTCATATAGTGAATCATTCATATGGTTCTGTTTTGTATAGGCAAAACAGAAAAAAAAAAATAACAGAATTAGAGGCAAATGGTGGAAATCCTATCCTGGATCTTTTTTGATGGTAGTAAATATCACTGAAAGGAACTGAGAGCTATTTGCTAATTAATCTAGTGGCTCTTGAGTGGTCCCCATATATTTAGAATGAAGTCTTTATTGAAGCAGAAACCAGCTGTCTCTATCAATCTCTGGTTCCATTGCACCATGTGCATACTTCCATCACTGTTCTTGCTAGACCAACTAGCCCAAAATAGCTGGTGTATTTTTCTTTTAAAATTATAAAAAAGATTTTATTTATTTGTTTGAGAGGTAGAGTTATGGAGAGAGGGAGAGACAGAGAGAGAGGTCTTCCATCTGCTGATTCACTTCCCAAATGGCTGCAAAGGCTGGAGCTGGGCCAATCCAAAGCCAGGAACCTCTTCTGGGTCTTCCACATGGGTGGAGGAGCCCAACCACTTGGGCCATGTTCCACTGCCTTCCCAGGCCATAGCAGAGAGCTGGATAGAAAGACAAATAGCTGGAACTTGAACCAGCACCCATATGGGATGCTGGCGCTCCAGGCAGTGGCTTTACCAGCTACGCCACAGAGCTGGCCCCAGTAAATTTGTTTTAGTCACTAGATTACACCTTCATGGGTAGAGTCTCTAATTCATATTTTTTACATCTCTAGGACTGGGGCCCAGCGTGGTGGTACAGTGGGCTTCCAATCTAGCTCCCTGCTAACATGCCTGGGAAAGCAATGGAGGATGGCTGCTATTTGGGCCCCTTCCACAAAAATAGGAGACCTGGATGGAGTTCCTGGCTCATGGTTTCAGCCTGGCTCAGCCCCAGCCATTGTGGCCAATTGAGGAGTGATTCAGCGAATGAAGATTTCTTTCTCTCTACTCCTCTGTCTCTGTAAATCTGCCTTTAAAATAGCTAAATCAATCTTAAAACAAAACAAAACAAAAAACAAGCCTAAGATCTGAGAGAGTACCTTGTACTGAACTGCAATTCAAACAAGAACACCAGTATATCCAGATCACGTTCTATGGTGAGTTTTAAAATCCACCTAAGGGTATACGCATTAGTGCTACCAATGTTTGAAAAAGATCTTCATTACTTCTAAATGTGGAGTTTCCAAAGAACATGTTCATACATGAAATATTTATGACTAAACAAGTACTAGAGAGAAATCACATTTAAGCCCTATGATTTAAAAAGGCTAATATTAAAACAGGCACAAGAGGCAATTAATGCACAAGATTTCCAATCTTGAGCCAGTGCTGTGGCGTATAAGGTCAAGCCTCCACCTACGGTGCTAGCATCCCATTTGGGGACCGGTTAGAATTCTGGCTGTCCCACTTCTGATCCAGCACCCTGCTAATGGACCTGGGAAAGAAGCAGAAGATGGCCCAAGGCCGGCACCGTGGCTCAATAGGCTAATCCTCCGCCTTGCGGCGCTGGCACACCGGGTTCTAGTCCCGGTCAGGGCACCGGATTCTGTCCCGGTTGCCCCTCTTCCAGTCCAGCTCTCTGCTGTGGCCTGAGAAGGAGGATGGCCCAAGTGCTTGGGCCCTGCCACCCACATGGGAGACCAGGAGAAGCACCTGGCTCCTGGCTTCGGATCAGTGCAGTGCGCCGGCCGCGGCGGCCATTGGAGGGTGAACCAACGGCAAAGGAAGACCTTTCTCTCTGACTCTCTCACTGTCCACTCTGCCTGTCCAAAAAAAAAAAAAAAAAAAAAGAAGATGGCCCAAGTGCTTGGGCCCCTGTACCCATGTGGGAGACCCAGAAGAAGCTCCTGGCTCTGACCTGGCCCAGCCCCAGCCACTGTGGTGGTTATGGGGTAGGTGGGGAGTAACCGTGCTGGCTTTTTTTTTTGTTTTTTTACAGGCAGAGTCGAGCAAGTGACAGAGAGAGACAGAGAGAAAGGTCTTCCTTTGCCGTTGGTTCACCCTCCAATGGCCGCCGCAGCCGGCACACCGCGCTGATCCGAAGCCAGCAGCCAGGTGTTTCTCCTGGTCTCCCATGGGGTGCAGGGCCCAAGTACTTGGGCCATCCTCCACTGCACTCCCGGGCCACAGCAGAGAGCTGGACTGGAAGAGGGGCAACCGGGACGAATCCAGCGCCCCATCGGGACTAGAAACCGGTGTGCTGGCGCCACAAGGCGGAGGATTAGCCTAGTGAGCCGCGGCGCCAGCTGGATGGAAGATCTCAATCTCTTCTCTCTGTATCTCTGACTTTCAAATAAATAAATAAATCATAAAAAAAAGATTTCACATCTTGTGATGATACTGATAACTTTGAAAAATTGAAGTAATTCTATATTGTCATATATTTATATAATAGCATATTATCATTTTCCCAGTAGTTTACTTATATATTAATTCATTTGATAACCATCCTATGTGATACAGGGTGTAATATCATCTCCATTTCAGAAATGAAGGCACTGGTTCCTGTTAGTTAAGTGCCAAAGATCAGTATCATGCCTCAGAGATAAGAATTAATCCCAGGACTTTTGATTTAAAATTCATCAATTTTTCTTACACTTCAGTATCTCTCCCATTTATTCAAAATAAAAATGTATTCTTACCTGCAGGTTATTGGCATTAGGGACATCTTCATGTTTCTCATCCAAAAGCTTTGAAATAATCACTAGACTTAGGCACTGTCTCAGCTGCCTGGAATTAAAATTTAAAAGTATTTAGAATGCATTTTCATCAATATTGTTAGAGAAACAAATGAATGTGCCAATAATACTTCTAGTTCTAACTGGAAATACAGGTAATGTTTCAAGAAAAGCCTGTACAGGTTGTTAAAAAATAGTAAAAACTTTCATGTAAAATATTTTCATCTAAAGTTAGAGTTGCTTGGGGTTCGGCGCTGTAGTGTAGTGGGTTAAAGCCCTGACCTGCAGCACCAGCATCACATATGGGCATCAGTTCGAGTCCCAGCTGCTCCACTTCCCATCCAGCTCCCTGCTAATGTGCCTGGTAAAGCAGCAGTGGATGGCCCATGTCCTTGGGCCCCTGCACCCATGCGAGAGACCTGGAAGAAGCTCCTGGATCCTGGGTTCGGATTGACTCAGCTCCAGCCACTGCAGCCATCTGGTAAGTGAACCAGTGGATAGATCTCTCTCCCTGTCTCTACTTCTCCCTGTAACTCTGTCTTTCATATAAATAAATACTAAAGAAAAATGAGAGTTGCCTGAAGTTCAGAAAGTCAGTGAAAGCCTTTATCTTTGCCTATGCTGATTTACTGATAGAAAACTCATATTATTATTGGAATAACCTTTGCATTAAAGCAAACAATGCTAATTCATTCACTTTAATTTTATATGTGTCATGTGTATTATCAGATAAACTAAAAATCAAGACTATTACCGAATGATCCAAGTTAAGAATCAGCCTATCAGCACCTTTTCTCCCACAAATGAGTATGAACTAAATATGAAATAAAAGGTTCTGATTTCACATTCAAAAAATGATGAACAGAAATAAAGAGCCCTAAAACAGTTCATTAATATAAACTTTGCAGAATTTCTTAGTGTTTAATTCTCACTTTTAAATACCTTCCACGTGAGGTCCAGTTAGGAACCAGCTGTACCATCCACAGAAGGTTGTGAGGATGACTTGAGAGCTCATTTATACCCAGACAGAGTTCAGGCACCTGACCAAAAAGAACAAGCAAGATTTCTTTTTCAAACAAGACAGCAGAATCAAGCACCTAACAGATCATTTATATACCTTCTTGTCCTAAGAGAAGAACTATTGCAAACTATAGAACACTCATTTTTAGAAACAGTATGGAGTCTAGAACTCCCTAAAATCTATACAAAACAGAGATTCAGTTTTATTTTAAATAGACCATATAGATACACTTGTCAGAATTCCATTGACTTTCAAGTTTTGTGCTCCATTACATCTCTACCTATATTTAATCAGTTTTTCTTGGAAGAATAAAATGATCTGAATATATGCTAATTTTCAAATGTGTATAAAGGAAATTGCACAAGATCATCCATGTTCCTGATCTGGGATTTCTTGTACATCAGGGATCCTATTCCGGCATTTTCAAAAGCCTAACAGTTGTTTATAAAAATAATCTGATGACTAAGGGAAGGAGGTACGGAGTGGGTTTAAGAGATTAGACAAGATCAAAGACTGATTATATCTTCATAACTTTTGAAGTTGAGTAGCAGGTATTTAGGGGTTCAACACAGTCTTCTCCTGACTTATGGACATGTTTTAAATGTTCTACCAAAGAAATCTGAGAAACATGATTTTCAGAAAGATCTAAAAATATACATGTTCACTCTCTATATGACTGCAGAAGTTCAACTCAAATTCTTGCTGCAGGTCTAACTCTCTCCATCATTTCATTTAGGTCTCTGCTCAAAGGTCATTTCAGAAAGGCCTTCCTTGATCGCTTCACACAAAATAGCACAGCACCCCAGCCTTTCTTCTTCCTAGAGTTCAGGGGTGGGGCTAAAAAACTTGGCCAAAAAATTATTTGGTCTGGCCCTGCCAAAACAACTGCAGGCAGGACTTGAGATTCAATAAATCTATAGCAGGCTAATTTTGTATAGCCTGCAAATAATGCTATAAATATTTAAATGTTCCTTGGGAGAAGAAAGGCTCCCCACCCCTGCTACCCATGTCTTCCTTTATTTTAGTTTGTTGTACATAAATACAACTTGATGGGGCTGGCATTGTGGCGCAGTAGATAAAGCTGCCGCTGCCTGTGATGCTGGCATCCCCTGTGGGCGCTAGTTTGATTCAGGCTGCTCCATCTGATCCAGCTCCCTGCTAATGGCTTGGGAAAAGCAGCAAAAGACAGCCCAAGAGCTTGGGGCCCCTGCCACCCATGTGGGAGGCCCAGAAGAAGCTCCTGGTGTTGGTCTGGCCCAGCCCTGGCCATTGTGGCCATCGTGGGAGTGAACCAACAGATGGCAGATTGATTCTTTCTCTAACTGACTTTCAAATAAGTAAATCTTAAAAACAAATAAAATACAACTTGACATGAAAATACAACCTACATCTACTTGTTTCCTATCTAACTTTCTGACTAGGACAAAGCTCATAAAGTTAAGGGTACTTTTTCATAGCCAAATCTCTTAGCACCTACATTAAATGTTCAGCCCACAGCAAATTATCAATAGATATAGTTTTGTTGAATAAACAGTTTAAGTGTTCGAAAGGATTCTTTTATCATGAATTTAAATAATACAGTTCTAGCAAACAATCCCCTCAATTCATTTTTAATCTGCAAAATATCTTAACTGAGCTAAGAAACATCACTACTTCTGTTACAGTGAAAGTCAAATCATGATACTGTACCAAAAGCCAATACTAAGGTTTTTAGTAATGTTACCTTAGTGTTCCAATCTCTCATGTTTTTCATCAGGTTTATCAGGAGGCTTTGAAAGTCAACGAGAGGAATCTGCTTCAGCTGTTTCTCCAAACTCATTTTAAACAACATTAGAATCAGCAACATTATTTCACGATCCTGGTAACCTTCTGGATGTATAGATGTACACAAGCCTAGAAACTTTGATACAAATGCACAGACAAAACAGCTTCAGAATATATATCTTACTTGAAGAATTTTAATTATAAAATCTTTTTGACAGGGGTAGGCATAGGGACACAGCAGGTTAAATCACAGCAGACACCAGGAGTGGAACAGCCAGGTCTTGAACTGGCGCCCATATGGAATGTCAGCACTGCAGGTGGTAGCTTTACTTGCTACGCCACAGTGCTGGTTACTTTTTGAATTCTTGATCATTAAGCTATTTTTTTTCCCCGTCATATTTCCTAATTATAAAAAATGATTGGTTTTAGGGGTAGGCATTTGGCCTAATAATTAAACTGTTCATGAAGGTGCCTGTATCCCATATCACAATGCATGGGTTCAACGTCCACCTCCAGCTCTTGATTACAGTTTCCTGGTAATGCAGACCCTAGGAGGCAACAGTGATGGCTCCAGTGATGGGGCTCCTCTCTCTCACTCTCACTGCCAGCATTTGGAGAATGACCAGCAGAAATGAGCTCTTTGTCTTCTCTCAAATTAATAATAAAATAATAATGATAATAATAATAAAAACACCAAGTGAAAACAAAAGACAGATAGCCACTCCAGGAAAAAAAATTATTGGTTTTAAAATTATCTTAGTTACCTAACTCTGACCTAAAGTTCTGTTTCACTATTAATTTTTAAAAATATGAATTTATTTAAAAGGCAGAGTTACACTGAGAGGGAGAGACAGAAAAAGAGGTCTCCCATCTGCTGTTCCACTCCTCAGATGGCTACAACAGCCAGCACTGGGGCCAGGCTGGAGCCAGGAGCCAGAAGCTTCTTCCAGGTCTCCTGAGAGGGAAGCTTGAGCCCAAACACTTGGGCCATCTTCTGCTGCTTTTCTCAGGCCATCAGCAGGGGGCTGGATCTGAAGTGGAGTAACCGGGACGTGAATCAGCGTCCATATAGGATGCCAGCATTGCCAAGCGGCGGCTTTATCTACTATGCCACAATGCCAGCCCCTTCACTCTTCATATTAAAACAAAAATAGGCCAGCGCCGCAGCTCACTAGGCTAATCCTCTGCCTTGTGGCGCCGGCACACCGGGTTCTAGTTCTAGTCGGGGTGCCAGATTCTGTCCCGGTTGCCCCTCTTCCAGGCCAGCTCTCTGCTGTGGCCCGGGAGTGCAGTGGAGGATGGCCCAAGTACTCGGGCCCTGCACCCACATGGGAGACCAGGAGAAGCACCTGGCTCCTGCCATCAGATCAGTGTGGTGCGCCAGCCGCAGCGCTGGCTGCGGCAGCCATTGGAGGGTGAACCAACGGCAAAGGAAGACCTTTCTCTCTGTCTCTCTCTCTCACTGTCCACTCTGCCTGTCAAAAAAATAAAAAACAAACAAACAAAAAAACAAAAATAAAAACAATTTAAAAACTTTAATACAAAGATATTTGGTCAGACGTCTCACCTAGCAAGAGACTAGTAAAACCTACCTGTAAGATACTAGTGATTTTTTTTTAAACTGTTACCACAGAACAAATGATTATAGCTCTGAGCTAAAGACATACAGGTAAGTTTTTTCCTACCTTAACCACATTTAAAATGTTGGTTTCGGGAAGAGCTGAAAAAATTGGCTTACAAGATGAATCTTCACTTCCTTTCCCCCCTGATGTTGTCTGTGTATCAGAACTATTGAAAAATGAATAAAGCAATGTGAAATTAGGTGCAAAATAATTATTCTGTTTAAGAAATGATGAAAAAAATTTTAAACTATGTTTTCTTGAGGTATACTTTACATACAATAAGGAACACTCATATTGTATTTTGCTAAATGTACACTCAGTTAAACACTATCCAAATCAACAACTTCTAAGAACATTTCTATCACCCAAAAGCCCCTTCATGCCAGAGCCAAGTCAATCTGCTGCCCCCATTTGAGGCGAACTTTTTTTTTTTTAAGATTTTGTTTATTTATTTGAGAGGTACAGTTACAGACAGTGAGAGGAAGAGACAGAAGTCTTCTTTCCATTGGTTCACTCCCCAAATGGCTGCAATAGCTGGGGCTGTGCTGATCCAAAGCCAGGAGCCAGGAGCTTCTCCCAGTCTCCCACGTGTGTGCAGGGGCCCAAGCACTTGGGCCATCTTCTACTGCTTTCCCAGGCCATAGCAGAGAGCTGGATCAGAAGAGGAGCAGCCAGGACTAGAACCGGTGCCCTTATGGGATGGGAGCACTGCAGGCAGAGGATTAACCTACTGCGCCATGGCGCCGGCTCCTGAGGCAAACATTTAATCTGATTTCTCTATGTATTAGTTGTCCCTGGTGTCAGAAACCTGCGTAGGAGGTGGCTGCAATTACAAAGAGCTCCTAATAGGTAAAAGTCTTTTGAATGTCCTAAAGAAACAATGCTAAGTATTCCAATTCTGGTTGAGTTTAGCAATGAAATTTCATGGGAGAGGACATGCATTAATTTGGCTTTCAAAAGATGTATGGTTTTAATTAAAAAAACAAAAACAAAAACAAAAACCAACAACACAATATTTCCATTTGTTGGTTTACTCCTTAATTGTCCCAGGGACAGAGCTAGGGACTGGGAACTCAATCCAGGTCTCCCAGATGGGTAGCAGGGACCCAACTACCACTATTGAACACTGGTAAACCCAATGGGTGGAATCTGTTGCAGAATCCCTAGACCTGGTCTGCCCTGCCACAATGTGTAGGATGTCAATCACTGACGCTGGGATAGTGAAAGCAGTTCATTTTGCAATTCACAGAGCAAGGAATCAGGCAACTATCACTTGACTTCCGAACTCCCCAGGAGATTAAGGGTGGTGAATTTAGACTGAAGTAAGGGTTGAGCACTGCATGTGTGGGTCTCTGATCCACAGTGTTCGTGGCCTTCCTTTGATCGGTTAGTGACAGGAGGCCAAGATTTTTTTTTTCTTCCTTTTTGAAAGGTTCATTTAAAGACTGGTGTTGTGGCAAAATGGGCAAAACCGCCACCAGCATTCCATATGGCTCTGGTTCATGTCCTGCCTTCCAATCCAACTCCCGGCTAATGCGCCTAGGAAAGCAGCAGAACATGGTCCAAGTACTTGGGCCCCTGCATCCATGTGGGAGACTCAGAGTAAGTTCCTGGCTCCTGGCTGTTGAGGTCATTTGAGAAGTGAACCAGGGGATAGAAAATCTTTCTCTCTGTCAATCTGCCTTTCAAATAAATAAATCTTAAAAAAAAAAAAAAGGTGCATTAGCAGAGAACTAGATCAGAAGTGGAGCAGCTGGGACTCAAACCAGTGCCCATGTAGGATGCCTATGTGGTGTTTCAGGCAGCAGTTTAACCTGCTGCACCACAATGCTGGCTCCAAGAGTGTTTCTTATGTAATGGCAAGTGGGCTTCAGCCTGTGCTGGGGTCTTCAAGTAGATTGGCTATTACTTTGTCTGATTAGGGCCTGCAGAGATTCTATTAAGCTCCCAGACTAGAGTCTAGAATTGGGATAACTTGGTAATTCTGACTTTCAGTGATTCTGTCTTACACGAATGGTCTTACTCTTATGCCACTCCTTAAATTTAGTGAGTCAGGGGCTTGCGTTGCAGTGCAACAGGTTAAGTCACTGCTTGTGATAACAGTGTCCCATATTAGTGCCAGTCCAAGTCCTGGTTGCTCTACTTCTGGTCCAGCTCTCTGCTAATGTGCCTGGGAAAGAAGTGGGTGTCAGCCCAAGTTCTTAGGCCCCTGCCAACCATGTGGGAGACCTGGATGAAGCTCTTGGCTCCTGGCTTTGGCCTGGCCCAGCTCTGACTTATTGTGGCCATTTGGGGAGTCAATCAGCAGACAGAAGATCTGTCTCTAACTTTGCCTTTCAAACAATTAAATAAATCTTTATAAAAAAGTAGTGAGTTAATCTTTAGTAAGGGATTGACCTGTAATCATCAAAGGGAAGACAGAGGAACTGCAAACTGAGGGAGAGACACTGATAGTCTACATCAAAAGATTCCGGGGTAAGGGCTTGGTTTCACTACTTGAATCATCACCAGGGTATGTGCTGGCAGGAAGCTGGAATCCAAAGCTGGAGCTAGAACTCAGGCAATCCAATATTGGGCATGGGTATCTTATGTTCTAACTGCGAGGCTAAACACTTATCCCTGTTTAATTAAAAATAAACAGGTGCATGCATTATGGCGTAGAGGGTAAAGCTGCTGCCTTTGATGCTGGCACCCTCTATGGAATCAGTTTTGAGTCCCAGGTGCTCCACTTCCACTCCAGCTCCCTGATAATGGCTGGGAAAGGCAGCGGAGGATGGCCTAAGTATTGTGGGCTTCTGCTACCACATGGGAGACCAAGATGTTGCCCCTGGCTCCTGGCTTCAGCCTGCCCCACGCTGGTTGTTATGGTCATCTGGTGAGTGAACCCAGCAGACAAATCTCTCTCTCCTGGTCTCCCACACGGGTGCAGAGGCCCAAGGACTTCTACTGCTTTCCCAGGCCATAGCAGAGAGCTGGATCGGAAGAGGAGCAACCGGACTACAGCCAGCGCCCATATGGGATGCTGGTGCTTCAGGCCAGGGCGTTAACCCACTGTGCCACAGTGCCTGCCCAGCCCTGTATTTTTTAACTAGTTATAATTAAGATGTCTGAGGCATCTTGATTTCTCTTTATTGTTTTTTTTTTTTTTACCCTGGAATTCATATCAAATTCTCTCTTATTTGTCATCATTTTTCAGTTGACTGCTAGGCTTCTATACATAGATTAAATCACTTCTGCAAATAAACAATCTTTTACCAACTCCTTTCCAATTCTTATGTCTCTTATTTTCTTGTCTAAGTGCTTTGGTGAATACTTCCCAAGGAGTTAAATAATAATGGACAGCTATTAACTTTACAAAAAAAAATTTAGGAGGAGGCATTTAGTCTAGCAGTTAAGACATCTCTATCTCATATCAGAGTGTCTGAGTTTGATTCTGGGCTCCTGTTCCTCACTCCAGCTTCCTGGTAATGAAGACAGACCAAGTAATTTGGGTTCTTGCCATCCACATGGGAGATCTAGATTGTGTTCCTGGCTCCTGGTTTTGGTCCTGGCCAAGCCCTGGTTGTTGTAGGCATTTAGGTGAGTAAATCACAGATGGGAGCAGTCTCTGCCTCTCAAAAAATTAAAAACTAAAAAATTTTAAAGGGCTTCTATCATTTCTCTATTAAACATGTTGAAGGCTTTTAGATTAAGACATGTTAAGAATGTATCTAGGCCGGTGCCGCAGCTCACTTTGCTAATCCTCCGCCTGCGGTGCCGGCACCCCAGGTTCTAGTCCCGGTCGGGGCGCCGGATTCTGTCCTGGTTGCTCCTCTTCCAGTCTAGCTCTCTGCTGTGGCCCGGGAAGGCAGTGGAGGATGGCCCCAGTGCTTGGGCCCTGCACCTGCATGGGAGACCAGGAGGAAGCACCTGGCTCCTGGCTTCAGATCGGCGCAGCAAGCTGGCTGTAACAGCCACTTGGGGGGTGAACCAAGGAAAAGGAAGACCTTTCTCTCTGTCTCTCTCACTAACTCTCCCTGTCCAAAAGAAAAAAAAAAAAAGGAACTAGCAGGGCTGGTGCCATAGTTTAGTGGGTAAAGCCACCACCTGCAATGCCAATGCCAGCATCCCATATGGGTGCCGGTTTGAGTCCTAGGTTCTCCACTTCCGATCTAGCTCTCTGCTATGGCCTGGAAAAGCAGAAGATGTCCCAAGTCCTTGGGCCCCTGGACCCAAGGAAGAGGCCCTGGCTTCAGATGGGTCCAGTTCTGGCTGTTGCGATTATCTGGGGAGTGAACCAGCAGATGGAAAAACTCCGTCTCTCTCTCTATTTGTGCTTCTGCCTTTAAAATAAATAAATAAATCTTAAAAAAAAATGCATCTAGGGACTGGCACTAAGGCGTATGGGGTAAAGCTACTACTTGCAATGCTGGCTTCTTTTATGGGTACCAGTTTAAGTCCCAGCTGATCCACTTCCCATCCCGCACCCTACTAATGCACCTGGAAAAACAGCGAAGGATGGCCCAAGTACATGGGCTCCTGCATCTATGTGGGAGACCCAGAAGAAGCTCCTAGCTCCTGGCTTCAGTCTGGCCCAGCCTGAGCTGTTGTAACCATTTGGGGAGTGAACCAGTGGATGGTAGATTCTTAAAAATCAAGAACAAATATTAAATTTGCTAAATAATTAGCCAGCACTGTGGCATAGTGGGTAAAGCTGCCACCTGCAGGGCTAGCATCCCATATGGGCGCTGGTTGGAGTCCTGGCTGCTTCACTCCTGATCCAGCTCTCTGCTATAGCCTGGGAAAGCAGTAGAGGATGGCCCAAGTCCATGGGCCCCTGCACCTGCTTGGGAGACCTGGAAGAAGCTCCTGGCTCCTGGCTTCAGACTGGCCCAGCGGCCAGTTGAGTGAACCAGCAGATGGAAGACATCTCTCTCACTCTGTCTCTGCTTCTCTGTAATTCTGCCTTCCAAATAAATAAATCTTAAAAAAAAAAAAAAACTAACTAAATTAACATTAGCTGTTATGTTTGAATTGTTTAAAATGATGCTTTTGGTGTTATAAAAAGCAAACTTACACCAGATTGTCTTCATTGAAGTCTGGCTGAAGATTCTCCAGAGGAAACAAAGATCTAAAATCAATCCCCATATTGAAAAACACAGCTGCTATATCAGATAATGATGGAATCCAGGGCCAAATTGGTGAGTCACTAAAGGTATCTGGTTAATAGAACAAAATATTTTACTCAAAACCACTGATGTATAAACCCACATTTGGAAAGTGACTGCATGTGAAATATGATTCTTAAAATGATTTTATAGAAATGACAGTTAATGATACACTAACAATATAGTTAAATTATAGTGACCAGTGGAACTATAGATTTTCAAATAAATGTGAAGGAAATGACACTCATAAATAATAAGTAGCTCAGAGTGATGGATAAAAGAGTTTAACTCAAAAGGAAGTAACACATTTTCAAATGACTAAAATAACAATGGCAAAATCTGAAATACTACCAACACATGAAGATTTATGATTTTTGGTACCTTTATAATCCAGTCCATAACACAAGTGAAACAGGTAAATCACAACACTGTTTTTATTATAAGGGCTCTTGAAGGTGAAAGTCATCGCAATGAATACTTCCAGTCTGCTTTAGTCCATTATCAGTACTTACCAATAAGCCAATTAAAATTAACTGCATAAATCAATACATAAATCTAGCAAAGTAAATTGCTATTTCTCCTGTACAGTAAACCCTGATTTGGTAAGTAGCAGCAAGAGTTGCCGCTTACAAGATCTTATCCCCTTTTCTTAATGCAGCTAGAAAAATGCAGAAACGTATTTTTGATTGGTATTTCTTTATTAAAGACTTTTTGATTAAAAAATTATACTATTCATCAATATAAAGAGGCTATATAATAGCAATCAATTCATGCTGTACATCACAGCAAATTCAGACTTACCATTTCTAATTGTTATTTCCATCAATGTACTTAAAATTTGCACTGACACAATGCAATCTGTATGAACTGACATCATCTGTCAAGCACATAAATAATAAGATTATTAGAAAACATGAACATTTATTCTACATTTAAGGTGATTTCTGCATATTTCACTTAAATCTTTCAATAAGCAGGGCTGGCACTGTGGTGTAGCAGGTAAAGCTGCCGCCTACAATGCCAGCATCCCATATGGGTGCTGGTTCAAGTCCTGGCTGCTCCAATTCCGAAGCCAGCCTTCTGCTCTGGCCTGGGAAAACCGTAGAAGATGGTCCAAGTCCTTGGGCCCCTATCTTGCGTGGGAGACCTGGAAGAAGCTCCTCCTGGCTTTGGCCGTTGCGGCCATTTGGGGAGTAAACCAGCAGATGGTAGACTTCTCTCTCTCTGCCTCTGCCTCTCTGTAACTCTCTACCTTTCAAATATAAAAATAAAACTTTTTTTTTTTTTTTGACAGGTGGAGTTAGACAGTGAATGAGAGAGAGAGAGAGAGAGAGAGTGTGTGTCTTCCTTCCGTTGGTTCATTCCCCAAATGGCTGCTACGGCGGGTGCACTGTGCCGATCCAAATGGCTGCTACGGCGGGTGCACTGTGCCGATCCGAAGCCAGGAGCCAGGTGCTTCCTCCTGGTCTCCCATGTGGGTGGCAGGGCCCAAGCACTTGGGCCATCCTCCTTCTCAGGCCACAGCAGAGAGCTGGACTGGAAGAGGAGCAACCGGGACAGAATCTGGTGCCCCAACCAGGACTAGAACCTGGGGTGCTGGCGCCGCAGGTGGAGGATTAGCTAAGTGAGCTGTGGTTCCAGCCCTATCAATAAAACTTAATAAAAAGAAAAACCTTTCAAAAGCTTATGAGGCAGTACTCATCACACATATGATCAAATAGTCTCAGAGAGATTAAACATCCTACTCAGTGTGACAAATGCCGATTTTTTTTTTTCAGATATATTTAAGGGGCCAGCACTATGGAAGAGCAGGTAAAGCTGCTGCCTGTGGTGCTGGCATCCCATACTGGCAACAGATTGAGTCCATTTCTGATCCAGCTCTCCGCTAATGCACCTGGGAAAGCAGCACAAGATGGCCCAAGTCCTTAGGCCCCTGCACCCATGTGAGAGACCTGGCTTTAAACTGGCCCAGCTTTGGCTGTTGCTGCCATCTGGGGAGTGAATCAGCAGATGGAAGATTCTTTGTAACTCTGCCTTTCAAATAAATAAATAAATCTAAAAAAAATTATTTATTTGGAAGTGAGCCATTTCTGCAGTCTCCAAGGGTATATACATTAGTAGGAAACTGGACAGAAAGCAGAGATGGGACTTCTACTCCAATATGGAATGTGGGTATCTCAAGCAGTGGCTTAACCTACTGTGCCACGACATCTGCCCCTCTAGTCAGTCTTAAAGTACAGAAATTTAGATATAGAAATATATAATTATTATTACTTTTAGAGGATATTTTGGAACAAAATCTCAAATTGAAAATAAAAATTTTTAGATTTTTATTTTATTAAAAATTTTATTTGAAAGGTAGACCAAAAGCCAGAGGAAAGAGAGAAAGGAGGAGCATGTGTACTAAACAGAAAGAAGTCTGGGGCTGGCGCTGTGGCATATTGGGTAAAGCCGCTGCCTGCAGTACCGGAATCTCATATGGGTGCCGGTTCAAGTCCCAGTTGCTCCACTTCAGATCTAGCTCTCTGCTATGGCCTGGGAAAACAGTAGAAGATGGCCCAAGTCCTTGGGCCCCTGCACCCACGTGAGAGAACTGGAAGAAGCTCCTGGCTCCTGAAAGTAATTTAAGTGGGTTTGTACAGAACACACACCTCAATTGCTATCTTTTGATTAGGAGCTACAGATTATGATCATAATAAACTTAAATTTAAAATGTAAAAGGGATAGGGTAGGAGTTTGTTCCAGCTTCTGACCCAGCTTCTTGCTAATGTTCACCTTGGGAAGCAGCAGATGATGGCTCAAGTACTGCCACCCACATGGGAGACAGGGAGACCTGTCTTTAGCCTGCTCTAGCTATTGCGGGTATTTGGGAAGGCCTGTTTTTGCATTTCAAACAAATTGAAAATAAATAAATAAAATGTAAAGGGGAATAATACAAACTCTGCTTTCACTTAAGCATAAAGCCTTTGTCATTCCTCAAATGTTTGCTATTAATCCCGGCCACTAGGAGGCAGCACATGTGGCACACAAGACAAGGTTTGGCCAACAATCATTTGGGGGGGGCTGGGGTGTTGGTTCCTGAGGGAGTGCAATATAGTAATTTCAGGTAAATAAATGTGTAAAAAAGCATACTGAGTAATATACTTCCCTCAGTTGATAATAGGTTAAATAATTCATGATACAGTCTGTCAAAGGAATACCATAAAGCCATTAAAAAGTACAAACAAGGGTGTAGACATTTGGCATTGTGATTAAGAAACTAATCCATATCCTGTATCCATATCAGAGTACCTGGGTCTGAATCCTGGCTCCTCCCTTCATTCCAGTTTCCTGCTAATGTGCATCCTGGGAGGCAGTAGGTGATAACTCAAGTAACTGGGTCCCTGTCGCCCATGTTGGAGACCAAGACTGAGTTTCTGGCTCCCAGCTTTGGCCTGGCACAGCCCTGGTTGTTACAGGCATTTAGAGAGTGAACAAGGTGGGAGTTCTCTTTCAAATAGATGACTTTTAAAAAGGATGTTAATATCTGTATTCTTGAAGTGGAAATAATTTACTGCTATCACATATTCTGTTTATATTAGATTAGCAATTTTTGCATGCAGAGAAGAATCTAGAAACATTAGCCAAAATGAACAGTTCCTGGATATTTGGATTTGAGAACTGGGCCTACTTTTTAAGATTTTTTTTTGTTTACTTGAAAGGCAGTTAGAGAGGAAGAAGGGGATAGAGGTCAATCTTCCATCTACTGGTTCACTCCCTAAATGGCAGCAACAGAAAGCTAACGCCAGGAGACAGGGATCTCCATCCATGTCTCAGTGGGTGGCAGGGGCCCAAGCACTTGGTCTATCTTCTGCTGACTTCCCAGGTACAATAGCAGGGAACTGGATCAGAAGCAGAGCAGCCAGGATTCAAACTGTGATATGGGAGGCCAGCTGCTTAACCCACTGTACCACAAACCCAGCTTCTTAGCCTACTTGAAAAAAAAATTTTTTAGAAGCAGACCTTCAGCCTACTGATTAAGCTAACTGTGTCCGCCCGGCGCCGCAGCTCATTAGGCTAATCCTCCACCTTGCGGCGCTGGCACACCGGGTTCTAGTCCCGGTCGGGGCGCCAGATTCTGTCCCGGTTGCCCCTCTTCCAGGCCAGCTCTCTGCTGTGGCCCGGGAGTGCAGTGGAGGATGGCCCAAGTCCTTGGGCCCTGCACCCCATGGGAGACCAGGGTAAGTACCTGGCTCCTGCCGTCGGATCAGCGCGGTGCGCCGGCCGCGGCGGCCATTAGAGGGTGAACCAGCGGCAAAGGAAGACCTTTCTCTCTGTCTCTCTCTCTCACTGTCCACTCTGCCTGTCAAAAAAACAAACAAACAAACAAAACAAAACAACAACAAAAAAAAACTGTGTCCAACATCAGACTGCCTGAATTTGTCCTGGTTCCAATCTCCTGATTCTAGCTTCCTGCTAACGTAGACCCTGGGAGGCAGGAGTGATGGCCTAAGCATTTGGGTTGCTACCAGCCATGTGGGAGAACTGGATTGTGTTCTGGGCTCCTGGCTTCATTACAGGCATTTGGGGAGTGAACCAGTGGATGGCAGCTCACTAGCTCTCTCTCAAAAAACAAAAAAACAGGTAAGTTTACAGAAAGAACATTTAATCTATCCATTTTATTTAAATTTTTTATAATTAAACATGCATTCCCTTTGGAAATGATAAGAACAAAGGTTCTTTTTAAAGATTTATTTATTTATTTGAAAGAGTTTAGAGGGAGAGACAGAGGGAGGCCCTCCATCCACTAGTTCATTCCCCAGATGATCACCAATGGCTAGGGCTGGGCCACTCTGAAGTCAAGAGCCAGGAGCTTCTTTTGGGTCTTCCACATGAGTGCATGGGCCCAAGCCCTTGGGTCACCTTCCACTGCTTTCTCAGGTACATTAGCAGGAAGCTGGATCAGAAGTGGAGCAGCTGGAACTTGAACTGGTGCCCAGATGGGATGCCAGTGTTGCAGGCAGCAGCTTTACCTGCTATGCCACAATGCTGGCTGTCAAAACAAAGATTTCTTTTTTTAAAGATTGATTTATTTATTTGAAAGAGTTACAGAGAGAGAGAGAAGGAGAGGCAGAGAGAGAAAGAGAGAGGCCTTCCATCCACTGGTTCACTCCCCAGTTGGCTGCAACGGCCAGAGCTGTGCTGATCTGAAGCCAGGAGACAGGAGCTTCTTCTGGGTTTCCCACGCGGTGTAGGGGCCCAAAGAATTGGGCCATCTTCTACTGCTTTCCCAGGCCATACGAGAGAGCTGGATAGGAAGTGTAGCAGCCAGGGCTTGAACCGGCGCCCTTATGGGATGCTGGCACTGCAGGTGGCGGCTTTTCCCGCTACTCCACAGCGCCAGCCCCCAAAATAAAGATTTTTAAAGAGTAAACTTTCAAGACTGGTGCGGTAGCATAGTAAAAGCTGCTGCCTACGGTGCTGGCATCCCATATGGGCACTGGTTTGAGTCCCTGGCTGCTCCACTTTCAATTCAGTTCCCTGTTATTGGCTTGGGAAAACAAGAGATCTCCAAATCCTTGGATCCCTGCATCCACGTGGGAGACCAGGATGAAACTCCTGGCTCTGGACTGGCCCACCTCTGGCCATTGTGGCCAATAGGAGAGAGAACCAGTGGAAAGATTTCTCTCTGTCTCTCCCTCTCTCTAACTCTGACCTTCAAATAAATAAATAAATCTGTCTGTCCCCATCTCTAACTATGCCTTTCAAATAAATTTTTAAAATAAAAAAAGGATGCTTTTTCTCTCACCTTGGTACTCCCCATATTTACCTTAGCCTACTTTAGTTTTCTTCATGGCACTTATAATCTGACATAACAGATATTTACAAATGTGCACATTCACTCTTATTAGTGTCTGTCTCCTCTGTACTAGAATGTGGACTTCGCCATATAAGACACACTTTTTTTTCAAGATTTATTTATTTATTTCATAGAGTTACAGAAAGAAAGGGAGCAACAGAGACAAAAAATGTTCTGTTCACTGGCTTACTCCCCAGAAGGCCTCAATGGCCTGGACTGGGCCAGGCCAAGGCCAAGGCCAGGAACCAGAAGCTTCAGCAAGGTCTCCCAGGTAGGTGGCAGGAGCCCAAATACTTAGGTCATCTGCTGCTGCTTTGCCCAGGCCATTAGCAGGGAGCTGGATCGGAAGTGGAGCAGCTGGGACACAAGTGGCAACTATATATGCTGGGTATCACAGGCAGTGGTAGTTTTACCCACTATGCTACAACGCGAGTCCCCAGAAACACTGATTTTTTTTTTTTTTAAAGATTTACTCATTTATTTGAAAGGCAGAGTTACCGAGAGGTAGAGGTGGGGGGTGGGGGTGGGGGTGGGAGAGAGGCCCTTCATTTGCTGGTTCACTTCCCAAACGGCCACAACAGCTGGAGCTGCACTGATCTGAAGCCAGGAGCCTCTTCCGGGTCTCTCACAAGTATGCAGGGGTCCAAGCTCTTGGGCCATCTAGTGCTTTCCCAGGCCATAAGAGAGAGCTGGATTGGAAGTGGAGCAGCCAGGTCTTGAAGGTGTCCATATGAGATGTCTGCACTGCAGGCAGTGCATTACCAGCTCCGCCACAGTGCCCAGCCCTGACACTGATTTTTTTCATTGCTGTTTTCTCTAGTGTCTGACACAACTGGCTTTCAAAAATGACAACTATATGAAAAAAAATGAAAGAATGTCTATATTGGAATACTTCTCTAGCTTTTGCCCAAAATGAGATTCTTTGAAATGTTACCTTAGTTTTTATTTTATTTTTTAAAAATTTACTTATTTATTTGAAAGACAGAATTATAGAGGCAGAGGCAGACAGATTTTCCATCTGCTGGTTCACTCCCCAAATGGCTGCAATGGCCGGAGCTGGGTCAATCCGAAGCCAGGAGCCAGGAGCTTCTACTGGATCTCCAACGTGGGTGCAGTGGCCCAAGCACTTGGGCCATCCTCTGCTACTTTCCTAGACACATTAGCAAGGAACTGGATCAAAAGTGGGGTAGCAGGGTCCTGAACCAGCACTCAGACAGGTTATGTCTGCATCACAAGCAGTGGGTTAACTTGCTGTTCTGCAATACCAGCTCTTCTACTCCAGACTTCAAGATGGCATTTTAGGGTCCGGTGCTGTGGCACAGTGGGTAAAGTCACCACCTGCAGTGCTGGCATCCCATATAGGCACAGCTCAAAAAAAAATTTTTAACTGGGGTACAAACAGTAATCCCCTAACCACTGGAAGCAAATGCTGCTGCCTCACCGTCTTTGCAACACTGGCTGTTCTCAGCCTAAAATGCTCTTCTCTCACACAGCACCAAGATTCATTCCACACTACTTTCTTCAAAAGGGTAAAGTCTCACTAGAAACTGCTGGAAAGATGGATCTTAAGGGGAGCATATGAGCACTGGTCAATGGGGGAACTATACTGACAAGTTACTCCTGGATTTAGACCTCATCTTACAAGAAAGGCCTTCAGGGGCCAGCGCTGTGGCACAGCAGGTTAAGCTGCCACCTGCAGTGCTGGCATCCCATATGGGCACCAGTTTGAGTCCTGGCTGCTCCACTTCCAATCCAGCTCCCAGCCAATGCGCCTGGGAAAGAAATGGAAGACAGCCCGAATGCTTGGGTTCCTGTACCCACATGGGAGACCCAGATGAAGCTTCTGGCTTTGGCCTCGCCCAGCTCTGGCCATTGTGGTCACTTGAGGAGGGAACCAGGGGAAAATCTCTCTTTCTTTATGTCTCTCTCTCTGTAACTCTTTCAGATAAATTGATAAATTTTAAAGAAAAACAAAAGGCCTTGATCAGCTACATTATTTAAAAATAAAAAGATGGGACTGGCATTATGATGCAGTGGGCTAAGCCACTGCCAGCAATGCCACCATCCCATGGAGGCTCTGGTTCAAGTCCCAGCTGCTCCACTTCCGATCCAGCTCCCTGCTACTGCACCTGGTGAAGCAGAAGCAGTGGAAGGTGACCCAGGTACTTGGGCACCTACCACCCACGTGGGAGACCTGGACAGAATTCCTGGCTCCTGACTTTAGCCTCACCCAGCCTCAACCATTGCAGCCATTTGGAGAAAGTAGTAGATGGCCCAAGTACTTGGGCTCCTGCCACCCATGTAGGAGACCAGGATGAATCCTGGCTCCTAGCTTCAGCCTGGCCCATCCCTGTTTGTTGTAGGTATTAGGGAAATGAATCAGTAGATGGAAGATTGATCTCTCCCTCACTCTCCCCTCCAGTCCTGATGCTCTAAATACTTCTCAATCATAAAAAAAGAATAAAATCCTATCTTTTGCAACAAAATGGATCAAACTGGAAACCATTATGCTTAGTGAAATAAGCCAGTCTCAAAAAAGACAAATATCCTATGTTTTCTCTGATATGTGGCAGTTAATATAGAATCCAAAAAATGTATAGGAATGAAACAAACATCTTGTGATATGATTGTTTTTAGCTCTGGTGGAACTGTGGTCTTCTTACTTTTTACTTGTTGAATATTATGGTTATCGATGAATTAAGCCTATGATTATGGAGTGGACCGAAATTAGGTGTTTGCAAAATTAAAGGAAAAAAAAAGGAAGGAAGGAAGGAGGAGGATTGAGGCAGGCAGTGGGGGAAGTATGGTTATCTTAGAACTGTACCTAAGAAATACATGAAATCTCTTCTCTTCATATTAATAAAAAAAACTTTCAAAATAGAAAAAAGCCTGGAATAGAAACTCCATGCATTTTTTTCTACTTTTCATTTCTTATGATACAGTTCTCTGATATCATTAATATTTTTAAAAATAAGATTTCTGGAGCAAATATTTACCATCATAAAGGATTCTCTTATACCATGAATTATCTTCCTCTATTGTATGCTTTTCATACATTCAGAATTTTATTAAAGTGGAACACTCTCACAACCTGGGAATAACTTGTCATTCATAATCTTCTTTGTATATGGGAGGAGGCTAATTCCAACTGAGCATCATCATAGTACTTGCTGATGTAGCAGCTAGTCAAAAAGTCCCTCTCCATAGCTTCCTAGCTCTTCTAGGATGTACTGCATTTAACCCTGAATTGGATGATACAATACTTCTATATTAATGATGTCATTTGCCTAAAGGGACAAAGTACCTAGAGTAATACCAGGACTCTACATATAAAATCAATATCATCTATATTTTTAAAAGTTACACTTAAAAATAAAAATTAAGATATTCAAGTGGATTTAAGTAGAAAATATAAATAGAAAAAAGAGAAACAGTTGGATTTACACACACACACACACATATGAACGAATGGGGAAATATTAGTATACAATAAAATCCCTGAAAATGAATATTGGTACCCCTATAAATAAAACAAAATTTAGGGAATGTAAGCATTTGAAGATCCTTTCTAAAACTAACTGTAACAGTGATTTACTGGTGTGATGAAGTGCCTCAGACACATATAACTTTATTGACTATCCTGCATACTATCTGTATTAACATTTCCTTTAAATGCATTCAGACTCCTTTTATATATTCTAATCCACTGAAATCACGGGTTTGATATATTAATTTTCCCCTAAGAATATGCAAGTAAAATTAGATATAAAAACTTGCTTTTGACTGGGAAATACAGTAGCAGGCAACTATAACCCTCCAAACATTTCTCTTACCCGAAATAGCCACTTTAACACAGGTACAGGACACTGGACATAATGATAAGCAGAGGTAAGGAAGCCTTGTGTTGTCAAAAAAATCTGATCTGTTTTTCCTGATCTGAAAAAATAAAGTGAAATCAATGACTATTACTTTCATGGCAAAGCATTTCTACTACCACCACATCTGACACAATCAAGACAATAAAAAGCGAATCATCCTGTGTAGGTGGATCCCACACCAATATAGACAGGTTACTCTCAAAACAAATTCAACTGATGGCATAAAGCTGATGCGATCTATTATTTCAGCTTCACGCCTGTCTAGTAGGCAACGCTACATTTGTTGGCAGTGTTGAAAGAGCCTATAAAATCTTAGGACCTCCTCTGCTTTTGCTAGCTCGCAGAACGCTGTTTCGTAAAACTCAGCACCAGAACTGATATGATCTCTCTAGCTCTAAGATATCAAGTACCTAGAGAAATCAGACTAGCTAGGTAGAGATTACTTATCCATACTAACATCTGGTTTGTGGTTGAGATTACTTGTCTATACTAACATCTAATTTTGCATTTTTTTTTTTAAACTTTATTTACTTATTTGAAAGGCAGAGTTACAGAGAGGCAGAGGCAGGCCGGTGCTGCGGCTCACTAGGCTAATCCTCCACCTGCAGCACCGGCACTCCGGGTTCTAGTCCCAGTTGGAGTGCCAGTTCTGTCCTGGTTGCTCCTCTTCCAGTCCAGCTCTCTGCTGTGGCCTGGGAAGGCAGTGGAGGATGGCCCAAGTGCTTGGGCCCTGCACCCACATGGGAGACCAAGAGGAAACACCTGGCTCCTGGCTTCGGATCGGCGTGGCGCGCCAGCTATAACGGCCATTTGGGGGGTGAACCAATGGAAGGATAGACCTTTCTCTCTGTCTCGGTCTCTCTCTCACTAACTCTGTCGAAACAAAAACAAAAACAAAACAAACAAAAAACAGAGAGGCAGAGGCAGAGAGAGTCTTCCATCCACTGGTTCACACCCCAGATGGCTAACAGCTGGAGCAGGGCTGTCTCTTCCTCTCACTGTCTGTAACTCTGCCTCTCAAATAAATAAATAAAATCTTACATAAAAAAAAAAAAAAAAAAAAGAATGACAGAGAAAAAGAATAGTGAAACCAACATACTGGCCCTAGACTTTATACCTCTTACCCTTCTTTAACTTAAGAAAGAAATAAACTCTTGTTTAAGCTCCTTTTACTCTGACAGTCACTGCTATTTATGGATCTTAATCCTAACTAATAAAAGCATGTCAACTTTCCTATCCTGCTTCCTATAATTAAGTAAAATATCATAAAGGGCAAAAAAAGGATTAGGAAACCGGAAAATTACATTGGTCAGAAGTCTTTTAAAGTAATTTTTATAGAGAAAAAGATATAATGTTAATTTCTACTTACTTAAGAATAAGCTTTTCTACAGCACTTTGTCCGATAAAACCAGAGTCTCTTAAATCCAAGGTATACTGATTGAAAATTTTTCCAGAATTAAGGAAATTAAATATTTCTTCACCTGGATGATGATCAGGAATAGCATCAATTGTAACTGAAAATTTCTTTAGAAATTCCCTGAAACATAAAACATGTTACTTGAATACCAAATAGTTATACTGCACATGGTTTTGTACTTAAAAGCTGGGTGCAAAGAAAACTTTACGTCCAATGTTAATCCCAGGTTAGACGACCAGCCGGAGAAAAAGTATGCTTTGCTGCTCCCAATTTTTGTCTTATGAGAAGGAACAATAATCAGTACAAAAGAAAAGGCGTAACTTGCCTCTAACATTTGCCTTTTAATACCATCACAGACGATTAGAAACCCAGTAAAGATTCATGAAGGAAATAATCATCAAAGGCCTATTTATTTTACAAAAAACCAAAAATTATATTTTTTTTGACAGGCAGAGTGGACAGTGAGAGAGAGAGAGACAGAGAGAAAGGTCTTCCTTTAACGTTGGTTCACCCTCCAATGGCCGCCACGGCTGGTGCGCTGCGGCCGGCGCACCACGCTGATCCGATGGCAGGAGCCAGGTACTTATCCTGGTCTCCCATGGGGTGCAGGGCCCAAGTACTTGGGTCATCCTCCACTGCACTCCCTGGCCACAGCAGAGAGCTGGCCTGGAAGAGAGGCAACTGGGACAGAATCCGGTGCCCCAACCGGTACTAGAACGCGGTGTGCTGGCGCTGCAAGGCGGAGGATTAGCCTAGTGAGCCACGGTGCCGGCCAAAAAACAAAAACTGTAAAATGACATACATACATTATAAAAAATACCATACCTGTGTTCTTCCAAGAGGCCATCTTCATCATCTGTACTATCTTGATCTCCGATTCTGATTGGGGATTTAATGCCTCGGCCCTGCCTTATATCTTCTTGTAGCTGCTTCTGCAGTTCATCTAGCCTGAGGATTAAAAGAATGCTATAATAAATAATTCATCCTAAAAATTAAAAAAAAACTTAGTAAGTTAAATCATGTCTCCCCAATACATCATGACATATAATATAATATACCATTTTCAGTAAAACATGAAAAGTCTGTTTCTTTTTTAAAGATTTATTTTATTTATTTGAAAGTCAGAGTTACACAGAGAGAGAAGGAGAGGCAGAGAGAGAGAGAGAGAGAGAGAGAGAGAGAATCTTCCATCTGCTGGTTCACTCCCCAGATGGCCGCAAAGGCCAGAGCTGGGCCGATGCGAAGCCAGGAGCCAGGAGCTTCCTCCGGGTCTCCCATACGGGTGCAGGGGTCCAAGGTCTTCGGCCACCTTCTACTGCTTTCCCAGGCCATAGCAAAGAGCTGGATAGGAAGTGGAGCACCTGGGACTTGAACTGATGCCCGTATGGTATACTGGCACTGCAGGCAGTGGCTTTACCTGCTATGCCACAGCGCCAGCCCCCAAAAGTTGTTTTAGGTCTTAGGCTTTTACTTAGTTTCTGTATAGAATCAGAATAGTGTTCATCACATAAAAACCTTGAATATTTCTTTACTGTTAAAAGATTTTAAAAGTGATCTATCCAAATCATTTAGAGAATGGGGAAAGAAAAGTATCAAGAATAAACACCACTAATTTAGTAATCTTTAACATTTATTTGACTTCTAGTAGTCCCAGCAACCTGCAGTAGTTGTCACTGTCATTATCATTTCAGCTAACATTTACTGAGCAGTTACTATGTGACAAGTACTACACTAAGGGTTTTATGCATTTAATCCTTTTAATCCTCACAACTCCATGTAATTTATTATTACCCATTTTATAGGTGAAGAAGTGGACATTAGAAAAGTCAAACTTGGAAAAGCTCAGGATGCATGTTCACAATGCAGAGTCTGGGCTAGATCCAAGGTTCTTGCTCATATTGCCTCTTTAAGATTTTTTATTTTATTTTTCAGAAGATTTATTTATTTGAAAGGCAGGGTAACAGAGAGAGAGGGAAAGACACAAAGAGAGATCTTTAATACACTGGTTCACTTCCCAAATGGCTGTAATGGTTGGGGCTGGGCCAGGCCAAGGCCAGGATACTGGAATTCCATCTGGGTCTCCCACTGAGTGGCAGGGACGCAAGTGCTTGAGCCATCTTCTGCTGCTTCCCCAGGTGCATGAGCAGGGAGCTGGATGGGCAGTAGAGCCCTGTGACTTGAACCAGCGCACCTCTGGGATGCTGGCATCATAGGCAGTGGCTTATCCTGCTGTGCCAGAATGCCTGCCCCGAGATTGAGTTTTTTTTTTTTTTTTTCCTCTTCTTTTCTTTTTTGACAGGCAGAGTGGACAGTGAGAGAGACAGAGAGAAAGGTCTTCCTTTGCCGTTGGTTCACCCTCCAATGGCTGCCACGGCCAGCGCGCTGCAGCCGGCCCACCATGCTGATCCGATGGCAGGAGCCAGGTGCTTCTCCTGGTCTCCCATGGGGTGCAGGGCGTAAGTACTCGGGCCATCCTCCACTGCATTCCCTGGCCACAGCAGAGAGCTGGCCTGGAACAGGGGCAACCGGGACAGAATCCGGCGCCCCGACCGGGACTAGAACCCGGTGTGCCGGCGCCGCAAGGCGGAGGATTAGCCTAGTGAGCCACGGTGCTGGCAAGATTGAGTTATTTTAATCAATGTTTTTATTCCCAACCCCAGTTCAAACAAATGAGTACATACAACAGTAAATGACTAGTACCTGTATTCCTTTATCATTATAGGAAAGAGTCAAATCATCAGATCAAACTAGTACCTTTGCTTTTGGGCTAAGCAATGGTCCATTTTAAATAAGCAACTTTAGATTTCACATTCCAGATCAGATTTTATAATAGAGATAATTTCTCAAACTAAATTCAGAAAGGTAAAAACTTTTGACATATTAATTGTCTGCCAGATTCCTACAGTTAGCTAGCTATTTGGTTATCAAGTTTGAAATATTACACAACTCCTTTGTAATCAAGCCAGCTGAACTCTTAAGTGAAGTTCTCTGAATTAGTATCACAGAAACTCCTTGAATTGGGGCCGACGCCGTGGCTCACTTGGTTAATCCTCCGCCTGTGGCACCAGCATCCCATATGGGCGCTGGGTTCTAGTACTGGTTGCCCCTCTTCCAGTCCAGCTCTCTGCTGTGGCCAGGGAGTGCAGTGGAGGATGGCCCAAGTGCTTGGGCCCTGCACCCCATGGGAGACCAGGAGAAGCACCTGGCTCCTGCCTTCGGATAGGCGCGGTGCGCCGGCCGTGGCAGCCATTGGAGGGTAAACCAACGGCAAGGGAAGACCTTTCTCTCTGTCTCTCTCTCACTGTCCACTCTGCCTGTCAAAACAAAACAAAACAGAAAGAATCCCAGCATCCTATACCCTCTCCCTATACAAGGCCTTGAGTCCCTGTGCTGTCCCCTGATGCAGGCCAAACGCCTTCCTGACATGAGTAACAACGCCCTGACCCCCCCCCCCCCCCCACCAAGGCTCCTCTTCCAAGTACTGGCACGAATCTCATTTCTCTCTGGGCCCCAGACCACTGCTCCCTGGTCTGCACAGGGCCACCAGGCAGAGATGAAGGGATCGGAAGCCTGCACAGGGCCACCTGGCAGTGCTGGTGCGCTGCGGCCGGCGTACCGCGCTGATCCGATGGCAGGAGCCAGGTACTTATCCTGGTCTCCCATGGGGTGCAGGGCCCAAGGACTTGGGCCATCCTCCACTGCACTCCTGGGCCACAGCAGAGAGCTGGCCTGGAAGAGGGGCAACCGGGACAGAATCTGGCACCCCGACCGGGACTAGAACCCGGTGTACCGGCGCCGCAAGGTGGAGGATTAGCCAAGTGAGCAGTGGCGCCGGCCAGTATTTCTTATTTCTAACATAGCTGACAACAGAAGAACTGTTAATAGTAGTACTAACACAAAATACAAGCTAGTTTCTTGTGATTCTTTTGAAAGGTCAATTAGGGGCCAGCGCTGTGGCGTAACTGGTAAAGCTGCCGCCTGCAGTGCCAGCATCCCTTATGGGCACCAGTTCGAGTCCCAGCTGCTCCACTTCTTATCCTGCTCTCTGCTATGGCCTGAGAAAGCAATGAGGATGGCCCAAGTCCTTTGGCCCCTGCACCTGCATGGGAGACCCGGAAGAAGCTCCTGGCTTCAGATTGGTGCAGCTTCACCATTCAGGCCAATTGGGGATTGAACCAGAGGATGGAAGACCTCCCTCTCTCTCTACCTTTCCTTCTCTGTGTAACTCTTTTAAGTAAATAAAGAAATCTTTAAAAAACAAAAAGAAAGGTCAATTAAAACTAAACCAAACAAGCTGTATGCTAAATCCAGCAAACTCATCATGATGACAACTAACCTTTGTGTGTCTTCCATCTCCTTCACCAGACGCTCTAAAGTATTTGTGTAAGTCCCACTGTGACCATGTTCCTAGAACAAGAAGAAAATTCAGAAATATTTTACAATACATCTTAGTATAAAAACTGGGATATTTAACATTATTCAGAGTACTAAAGACTATCTTCTATTTCAGTAACCTGGGCCAGGAGGATGCCTTTCTTAAAAGATAATTTTCACCATCATGCTTTAAATCTAATATTTTATATTGCAGGCAATTTGATTTTTACCATCTACCAGGAAAGGTACTACTTATAAAACCCTGCTACTCTTAGGATCTAACTGCAGTCACCCAAGGGCTCTGTGGCTACCCTGTCTTTACTTTCAAGTTCTTTTAGTGGAATCAGACTACCAATTTTTAGATGTTACCACAGAATATTAATATGATCCCCACCAACTTTTACAGACATCTTAGAATTTAATTCAGCTATTCCCAAGATAGAATGAAGCACTTTATAAATAAAAATTGCACACCACAATTAACAACATTTCTACACTCTACCTTCATTTACAGCAGTGGTCTCCAAAGCAGGGGTGTGCAAGGTGATCCGTTGGGGTGCAGGAAGAAAATAATAGAACTTCTATTTATATGGAACTTCTATAGAAACTCCAGTAGAACTTAGTCCATAGTAACTTCTACATAACTTCTATAGGAAAATACTCATTTTCTTCTTGTTAAATTATGTTTTTGCATATGCTTCAGAAAGTACACAGCATTTTAGTGGTACATGTATGTAATCTATAAGTATACACATATATTGGCGTACATGCTCAAAATTTTTTTACTAACAGCAGTGTGTGTGATCAAAAAAGTTTGGAGACCACTGATTTATGGGAAACTCATCAAACAAGAATTATACCATTTTCAGTTTATTATGAGTTGTGATAAATATTAATTTTAAAATAAGTTCTAATAATCTGTTCTTTCACTAATCAATCCATCTTTCCCTCTTCAAGTTAAGGAAAATGTCATAGAAGTACTTACTGTATATTCTGATGATTGAGACCTAAGACCCTTGGTAACAGCTGGAGGCTTTCCTGTAGTTCCAGAAGTCTGATTGAAGTTCAAAGCCATTATTTCTTCCAGTGATTTTAATGTTTCCTCTTCCTCATCACTGTCTAGGTTGTAACCTAAACTTTCTTCATCACTATCAAAATCACCCCTTAGTTTTCTTTTCAGTGCACTGCTACCTGTGTTGGAATTTCCTGAACTCTCTTTATCTGAAGGTGCTGTAGAGCTTGGGATACACGGCACAACTTCCAAAGCAGCTGGGGGAGACTTTGTAGAAGTGCCATATTCTGAATGCAAAGATTCCCCAGAAATTCTCCCTGAAGATACATTAGTATCATCCTTATTAGTCTTTGCTTTGTGTTCCTTGTGTTTGGAGGATTCTGTAGAATGCCCAGAACATTCTTTAGATGACAAACGCTCTTTATCTTTTTTAGGAACTGGAAGAGTACAATTTTTAGTATTTAATGGTACCCGAGAGGAACCAGCACTTGGAACATGGGAAAGTAAAGGTAGAAGTTTTGTCTCTTTTGATGTCACAGAGCCAGCAGTTTTAGTTTTCTGAAGGCTGCTAGCTTTTTTAACTGCAGATTTTTCCTGAGGTAAAGGTGAGTGGGGTTTATGCATCTTAGTGTCTTTGGTACTTGCCACACTGATTTGGTCACTATTCCTAGAAGAATGGTGGCCAGAATTTGAAGGTGCTGAGCCTGCAGAGGAGTAATCAGTTTCATCGTGAGGTTCCTTGGATATATCTTCCAAGCGCAACACATCACCAGGTGTCTTCAGAGCAATATGTTTTATGAATTTTTCTTTCTGATGTGGTCCGTCAGGACGCTTTTCAAAAAAGGACTCTTTTGCTTTTGGTATCAGAGATTCTCTTGTGCTTTTTAGATCTGAGTCCACAGAGCTCCTTTTTCTTTTGTCAGGGAATTTATTCTGCTTAGAGCCTGGTAAAATTTAATTTTTGTAAGATTAGTGAAAAGTATACTTTCCTATCTCAGAAAAGCTTATTCAGTGAGTTTCTAAAACACTTTGACAAAATATTTAAATTCTATAGATTCAGGTTGTGATTATTCAGTATATATGGAATGAGGACAGAATTAATTATGTCATTTATCAAGTTGATACATACTGGTGTCAAGTTTAAAGCAAATGACAAATGCTCCCATTCATTCCAAAGCTATAAAAAGTTTAGTACCTTAATAGAATTAAAGGTCACTCCCCAAAACAAAGACAACTATGAAATTCAAGATGGGATTCTCAAGATAGATATTCTTTTAAACTTAGGACTACCTGGTTCCAGAAATGTACCACTTCTACCTCTATATGTACAGTACCTTAAAAAACATAGTGTAACTGGAAGGCAGACACATTTTAATTTTCCACTTAAAAAGAAATTTACCCAATTCGTTCCCTCTACTATTTAATTATTATTTATTCTTTCCTATGTATCTTTCCAATCTTTAGCTATGCTACAGGATGAACTCTGTCCCCTAAATATGATATGAAGTCCTAAACCCCAGTAATTCAGAATATGACCTTACTGGAAATAGACTTCATAAACATGATACAATTAAAATAAGGTTTTTAAGGGTGTGTCCTAATGCAATGTAACTCTTACAGACGTGCACAGATGAAAGACAAACTAAAGATTTACAAGGCAAAGATGTCATGTAGCCAGAATGATATATCTATAAGTAAAGAAATACCAAGGATTACAAGCCAACACAAGATAGACGAGGCAAAGAACTAGCGTTGTAAGAGAGAACACAGCCCGGTTACCAATACGTTGATTTTGTACTTCTAACTTTCAGAATTGTTAAATAATAATTTCTGTTGTTTTAAGCCATCTTGGGTTTTGGTATTTTGCTATGGGAGCCCTAGGAAACAAGTTGTACATGTTTATCAGTTGCCTCATCCAGAAACATTTCAATAACAACCACTTCTCAAAAATCTCACTAAAAAGCCTCCAAAACCATACTTGAGAGTTAGGTAATTTTTATTTGGACAACTTTATCAATAATATAGAAAATTCAGTAAAATTAAATAGTAATTAATAAACAAATATCCCAGAGCCCGGGATGGCCCATGTCCTTGGGCAGCAGCACCCATGTAGGAGATCTGGAAGAAGCTCCTAGCTCCTGACTTCAGATGGGCTCAATTCCAGCTCTTGTACCCATTTGGGGAGTGAACCAGCAGATAGAAGACATCTCTCTGTCTCTAGCTCTCTCTGTAACTCTTTCAAATAAATAAATCTTTTAAAAAATAAACAAATATCTCTTCTCTTTTTCTTTTTAAAGATTTATTTATTTGAAAGTCAGAGTTCAGAGAGAGGGAGAGAAAAGAGAGAGAGGTCTTCCATCTGCTGATTCATTTCCCAAATGGCCACAACGGCCAGAGCTGCACCATTCTGAAGCCAGGAGCTTCTTCCAGGTCTCCCACAAGGGTACAGGGGCCCAAGGACTCGGGCCACCTTCCACTGCTTTCCCAGGCTATAGCGGAGAGCTGGATCAGAAGTGGAGCAGCTGGGACTCAAACCGGCACCCATATGGGATGCTGGTATTGCAGGCGGCGGCTTTACCTGCTATGCCACAGCACCGGCCCCTACTGCTGCTTCTTTGATTTACCTATTTGAAAAGCAGAGTGGCCGGCGCCGTGGCTCACTAGGCTAATCCTCTGCCTAGCGGCGCTGGCACACCGGGTTCTAGTCCTGGTTGGGGCACCGGATTCTGTCCTCGTTGCCCCTCTTCCAGGCCAGCTCTCTGCTATGGCCTGGGAATGCAGTGGAGGATAGCCCAAATCCTTGGGCCCTGCACCCACATGGGAGACCAGGAGAAGCACCTGGTTCCTGCCTTCGGATCAGCGCGATGCGCTGGCCGCAGCATGCCAGCCACAGCGGCCATTGGAGGGTGAACCAATGGCAAAGGAAGACCTTTCCCTCTGTCTCTCGCTCTCTCACTGTCCACTCTACCTGTCAAAAAAAAACAGAAAAACAAAAAAACACCACAAAAAACAGAGTGAAGAAGGAGAGAAAAAGAAAGATCCACCCCCTGGTTCATTCCCCCAAACTGGATTGGAAGCAGAGCAGCTGGAAATTGAACCAGCACTGTGATATGGGATGCTGGTGTTGTTAAACAGTGGCTTATCCTACACCACAATGTCATCCCATTTTAAGAGCTTCTAGCTTCAGAATTAGAAGAAAATTAATTGGTACCATAGGTGGCTTTTCTGCAAGCTCTTAAGGGCAGTAAATTAATAGTAACATTTTCATGATGTTTCTATACTCCCATCCAGTCTGTAGAGTGAGTGTCTAGTAGTTTCCGTTTTGACTAATATTATGAATTAGGTAAGAGAGGGGCTGGTGCTGTGGCGCAGTGGGTCAAAGCCCTGTCCTGAAGCACTGGCATCCCATATGGGCGCCAGTTCGAGTTTTGGCTGCTCCACTTCCCATCCAGCTCTCTGCTATGGCCTGGGAAAGCAGTAGAAGACGGCTCAAGTCCTTGGACCCCTGCACCCATGTGGGAGACCTGGAAGAAGCTCCTGGCTCCTGACTTCTGGCTTCGGATTGGTGCAGTTCTGGCCATAGCAGCCAACTGGGAAGTGAACCAGTGGATAGAAGACCTCTCTCTCTGTCTCTATTTCTCTGTAACTCTTTCAAATAAATAAAATCTTTTCTAAATAAATAAAATAAAATAGGTAAGAGAGGGACTGAGTTTTTAAAAAGAAAAAATGGAAAGGTCTAAAGTCCACTAACGGGGAACTTGTTATTAATAAATTATCAAATATTGGGGATAGATTAAATATGATCTCAGAATTCAGCCATATTCACGGTTCAGAAAGAGCAAAGAGACAAATGTCTATCAGCATTTCTGAAATCTCTGAACTGTGGGATTAGTAATTCTGTGATTACATATATTACCATCGCAATTGCTAAGCACAATAATGGTAATGACGAACAACATGCATGATTTCCTTTTTTAGTATCTACTCACCATCAAATAAAGTACTTTCAATGTAATCTAGAGTGAGAAATCCCTGTATGTCCTTTACATATTGAATTTCTGTTGATCTCAGTCCACTGAAGTATAAATGTACAAGGGTATAATGCTATAATGCATGCAGTATAATAAAAATAATGTAAGTGAAGGTCAACCACCTTAAGTGTGCCTCTGAAAATACGCAGAGAACAGATGTTTTCAAGCAGTGCCTCAAAACTTTTAATATGTAAATGAAACAACTTCAGCCAGCACTGATAGAATTTGTAAACAAAGGAAATGAAGAATTTTTTTCAAAAGATTTATTTACTTGAAAGTCAGAGATACAGAAATAAGGAGACAGAGAGAGAGATCTTCCACCTGTCCAAGGCTAGGCCAAGCCGAAGCCAGGAGCCAGGAGCTTCTTCTGGGTCTCCCACATGGGTGCAGGGACCCAAGCACTTGGGCCATCTTCCACTGCTTTTCCATGCACATTAGCAAGGAGCTGGATCAGAAGTGGAGCAGCCTGGACTCAAACCAGCGCTCAAATGGGATGCCAATGCTGCAGGCAGTAGCTTAACCTTCTATGCTACAGAGTCAGCCCCAGAAGAAAGTTTTTTAAAGTCTTAAGTCATTATCATAGAAAAAGGCAAAGTTGAATAACAGCTGCACCACCAGTAGCAGCTGCCTTTACACTGGCAGAGCTGGCCTAATATTTTGTACTTCCACCCACCTAAGTGAAAAGTGATCATTTACTTAATATTACAAATATGCAATACAGTGAATGAAGCAGTCTCATGGCTGAGAAATTTTTATTCTTGAATAATGTCAAAACTTACTATAATTTATCATAAAATCAACATTATAGAAATTAAATAAATTTAAAACACACATGGGCCAGTGTTTACACAGTGGATTAAGCTGATGCTTCTAACACTAGCATTCCATATCAGAGTGCCAGTTCAAGTCCTGGTTGTTGTTCTTTCAATCCAGCTTCCTGCACAGGTAGTAGAAGATGGCCCAAGTGTTTGGGGCCCTGCCACCCATATGGGAGACCCAGATGGAGCTTCTGGCTTCTGGCTTCTGCCTGGCCCAGATCTGGCTATTGTGCTATTGTGACCATTTGGGGAGTGAACCAGCAGATCAAAGATCTCTGTCACACTGCCTACCACATAAATAAAGATAAACACAAACAAAAAAAGCCACATAGAAAACTTCAGATTTATTCCTGGATCCTAAACAATCCTTCTATGATGGTAAAATATGGTTGGGCTGAAACTTGATTTTAACAATTTAAAATGCTTGGTCAAAATAATTATACATAAAATGAAGTACTACAGGAAACTTGAAGAATGACTCAGAAATGTCTCTCTACCCGTGTTTCTTTCATCTCTAAAAGTAACACTTTTGTGAGGATCAAATGAATTAGAAGCACACAGAACAGAGCATAGCACATAGTAAGTGTTCAACAAATGTTGGTTATAATGATTTTGTCCAATATATCTTAGTGGATGTCTAAATTCATACAGTTGACAAAATGTATAGTCATCACAGGGGAAAAAAACAACTTGATACATCATACTATAACAGTCATTTTGGGGGATCTTCCATTTTCAGTGTTATAAATTTCTGTAGTGTTTGAAATTTAATGTTCTAGTTAAAAAAAAAAAAAAACCTTGGTGCTGGCGTTTTGGTACAGTAGGTTAGGCAGCAGCTTATAATGGCTGCATCTCTTATCAGAATGCAGGTTTGAATCCCGGCTCTTCCACTTTAGACAAGCTCCCAGCTAATGCTCTGGGAAGGCAGGGGATGAAGACCCAAGTGCTTAAGGCCCTGCTACCCAAGAATGAACACCTGGACAGAGTTCCTGGTTTCTGGCTTCAGCCTGTCCCAATCCAGATTATTGTGGACATTCTGGGAGTGAACCACTAGATAGAAGACAGACAGCTAGATCTCCCTCTCATTCTCTCTCCCCTTCTTTCCCTCCTCTGAAACTCCGCTTCTCAAATAAACAAAAAAACTTTTGTAAAAAAAAATTAACTTAAGAATTACTGAATTAGCAGTAACTGTTATTATCTATTTGTTAATACATAGTAAAAACACAAACTATTATCATGTAGATGTCCTTGACATTTGATATTAAAAAGGCGTATTTGTAATATTATGGAACATTATCTTGGATGATAACAGTTCCAACTTTATACAAAACATCTTTAACATAGTAGCAGGACCACAGAGAGTCCACAATTCTAAGAATAAAAGATTATGCTTCTTGATGTTGCCAAGAATTCAGAAGTAAGAAACTGGGGCCCAGGCTGTGGCAAAGGTTAAGCTGCTGCCTGCAGTGCCAGCAGCCCAGATGGGTGCCAGTTTGAGTCTCGGCTGCACCTCTTCTGATCTAGTTCCCTGCTAATGCACCTGGGAAAGCAGCGCAATAGGCCCAAGTCCTTGGGTCCCTGTCACCCATGTGAGACATCTAGAAGAAGTTCCTGGTTCCTGGCTACAGCCTGACCTAGCCCCAGCCGTTCCGGCCATTTGGGGATTGAACAAGCAGATGGAAGATCTCTCTCTCTCTCTCCTTTCTCTGCTTCTCAAATAAATAAACAGATCTTTAAAAAAAAAAAAAAAAACAAAACACACAGTAGAAAACTGAACACAAATATGAGAAACACATTGTTAAGAACTCTTGAAGAATGCAGAAGAGTCAAGACAAAGCAAAGACTACATGTACTAAAGTGAAGTACAATTCTTTTTCAATATAATTCTACCAAACTCTTCATCTGAGAAAGTCAATTCACCTTTAGAAAGAAAAATTTAAACATATGTATTTATAAGACGCAAATCTATTTAGAAATAAATTTAATTTTTATCTCACCTGAAGTAGGTTCCCATGAATCAGAGGAGGATCTTTTTCTTGAGAGATGTCCATTTTCCTATCAGGAAAGAAAGAAAAAATTAGTTAGGAGTTTGAGGTAGTGAAGAATTTGAATTGCCCTTCATAACACTTATAAAGACTTCTAGACTGAATTAACTTCCAAAATAACATTTAAAAACCTTAAGTTTTACCATAAAAATGAAGTGTATTTTTATGATTAAAAATCTAAAAATGTTGGAGCCAGTGTTATTGTATAGTGGGTAAAGCCCCTCCGAAGCCAGGAGCTTCTTCCAGGTCTCTCATGTGAGTGCAGGGGCCCAAGCACTTGGGCCATGTTACACTGCTTTCCCAGGCCATAGCAGAGACCTAGATGGGAAGTGGAGCAGCCAGGACTCGAACTGGAGCCCATATGGGATGCCGGCACTGCAGGCAGCAGGTTAACCCGCTATGCCAAAGCACTGGCCCTGAGAATTTGTATTTCTAACAAGTTTTCATATGATGCTGATATTGACAGTCCCACCCAGGGACCAGTTTGAGAACTGTTCTTTCCGATTTTTGACTCCTTAAGCATCTCCCTTCAGCAAAGTTTATTTTATTTTTATTATTTTTTATTGAGCTAAGCATTTTTAAAAAAATTTTTTTTAAACAGGCAGAGTTAGACAGTGAGAGAGAGAGAGAGAGAGACAGAGAAAGGTCTTCCTTCTGTTGGTTCACCCCCCAAATGGCTGCTACAGCTGGTGCTGCACTGATCCAAAGCCAGGAGCCAAGTGCTTCCTCCTGATCTCCCATGCAGGTGCAGGGCCTAAGCACTTGGGCCATCCTCCACTGCCTTCCCGGGCCATAGCCGAGAGCTGGACTGGAAGAGGAGCAACCGGAACTAGAACCCGGGGTACCGGCGCCACAGGTGGAGGATTAGCCTAGTGAGCCACGGCACTGGCCCGAGCTAAGCATTTTTTTAAAAAAGGATTTTTTTATTTGAAAGGCAGAGTAACAGAGAGGGAGAGACAGCACTATCTTCCATCTGTTGGTTTACTACCACAACGGTTGTAATGGCTATGGCTGGGTCAGGCCAAAGTCCACTGAGTGGCCGAGGTCCAGGGTCTTGGACCATCATCTGCAGCTTTCCTAGGCACATTAACATGGAGCTAGACTGAAAGTGGAGCAGAGGGCTAGCGCTGTGGCATAGCAGGTAAAACTGCTGCCTGCAGCGATGCCTTCCCATATGGGTGCCAGTTTGAGCCCCGGCTGATCCATTTTTGGTCCAGCTCTCTGCTAGGGCCTGTGAAAACAGCAGAGGATGGTCCAAGTCCTTGGGCCCCTGCACCCATGTTGGAGACCCAGAAGTTCCTGGTTCCTGGCTTCAGATCAGGTCAGCTCCGACAACTGCGGCCACATGGGGAGTGAACCAGTAGATGGAAGACCTCTTTCTATCTGCTTCTCTATAGAGTTCTGGCTCCTTTACTTCTGATATAGCTTCCTGCTAATGCACCTGGGAAGACAGCAGATGCTGGCCCAAGTGTTTGGTTCCTTCCTCCCATGTGGGAGACCCAGATGGAGTTCTGGCTCTTGGCTTTGGCATGGGCCACCCTGGCTGTGCTGTCATTTGGGGAGTGAACACAGTGGATGGAAGATCTCTATCTTTTCATTACTCTTGCAAATACTAATCAATCAAAGAAAAAACAAGTTTAAAAAAAGATCTCTGTTCTGAAATATTAAAGGCAGGAAACACTTCTTTACTGAATTCAATGATGGGCAGTTGGAACAAACCCAGTGAAATCAGCTTTTACACAAACTGTGCAACAATATTTCCTTAAAGAAAGATACTGTGACCTAGCAATTATTGTTAGTACTCTAGACGTTATAAAACAGTAGCAAAGCTAATTCAGTAATTACTGCACATACCAGGTTTGAAAGGTTACTCTTTCCAGGTATGGCATCATTCTGTTTACTTTGTTCCTGTCTCTGTTGGCATTTTCTTTCCATACTAGAAGATTTTAAGGAAAGACTGCTTGCTTCGGAGAAAGAATTTTCTGAGTTAATTCTCTGTTCCATCTGTTCCTTCCTCAACTTCTTCAGTTCTCGTTCTCTGCAGTAAGAGGCTAGTGACAACTGGAACTTAGCTCCCAGTGGGCTCTCTCCTGAGTGATGTCTGGACAGGCTGCTTCTGCTACTGAGACTTCTGGAGCTGTTCTTGAAGATGTCAGCTTCTGTGACTGTGGCCTGTCTTTTGGACTCGGCATTGGTCTTGCCTCGGTCTCTATCAGCCTTCTCTCTGCTATTTTCATGAATGAACAGAGACTTCCTTCTCTCTGGAGATCGATGTTTTTTCTTCAGCGCTTTCATCTCTTCTGATAAGCGATAAGGAGGAGGAACATAGATATTTGTTCCTTTGGGTAAGTACTTGGAGGCTAGTGACACACAAGGTCGACGTGACTCAGATACATCACGATCTTTATGGTGCTCTTTCACACCTTTCATGAAAGCTTCTAAAATAGGGCTCTTGTCTGATGGCATCCTTTTGTGTTTAGATTTTTTTGGTGAGGATAGTTTCCTTTCAAACTGCTCTGTCCCAGTAACGGACAATCCACTTCCTCCATATTTGATGTTTGATTTTTGTGGAGAATCCAACATATGTCTGTCTAAATAGCCAATTAAAACACATACAAACTGCATGTTACTAAAAACAACACAAACATATTTTAATATATGAAATTAAACTATATTTAAAGCTACCACAAAACTTTGTAAATCGATAATATCTGGTGAATGATATACATTTTATTGGAGGGTAAGAGAAATGAAGACATGTTTAATAGCCTTACTTTCATTAATCTCCCATTTGCTATATTATGTAACCCCTTTGGCTCTATTTATAAGTTATTATACTAGAGAATCAAAATAATACACATTATAACATTAAATTATTGACTAGAATACTATTTTAAAATATAAGAAAGCATAACCGCAAAAATAGTTTCTGTTTAGAACTTGAGGTTATATTCGTTAAAAAATACTTTCACTATATTTTAATTTTGAATATTGTATTTAGTCAAATTAGCAAGAATTTAGACAAAGTTAAAAACTTGAATCCATCTCCCTTATCCCCAAAATAGCCTATTAAAAGAGCATTACAGTATACACACCTTGTTTTGAGGCTCGTTTGAAGAAATCTATAATTGACTGTTTCCTGAAAACAAAAGCATAACTAATATGGTATCACATAAGCAAATATTAAGACCTTAATAACCTGGATTAAATGAAAAATGTTAGATTTACAGAATATGGGCTAGATTTCACCCTTTAATCAAGTTCTCACGACAGTAATCATGCTTTGCTAAACTGGTCATGAAAAAATTGAAAATTACATTCATCACTTTCAGTAGTTTATCACAACTGAGGTTTATGTAACCTACAGTATTAAAATAAGATTAGATTGTGGGTTCAGGTAATGGGTACGGAGTGCTTCTTAGGACCAAAACACTCACTGCTACATGGCAGGATGGGAGAGCTTTGGGATAAGCATTTGTTGACACCTCCAGTCACTGGCACAGAATGACATTCAATAAAAATTTGCTGGATGAATAATGGAGATTATAAAAACAGAGTAAAACCTGAATAGCATACCACAACAAGAGTAGAACAGATGGCAAAATGGCAATATGGATAGTTTGGCTGATTTCAGGAAGCAGCTGAAGAGGAATGTACCAGATAAAGGCAGAAAGGATCAAGTATTAAGCTCATTCTACCCTCTCTATACACTTCAGCAAATCTAAGTTAACAGCAGTAATTGGAATAAGCTTTCACAACCAAGTAAGTAGCGTTACAAATTTTTAATTTTTTATCTAAGAATCTTTTAAGATATTTACAAAACAACACATTGCCTGGGCAAAACATGAAATGGAGAAAATGGAATAAAGTTAGTAAATATAACAAAAACCAAATTGTTTTTTAATTCTTAAGGATTTCTGAATTCAAAGGAGACACAAAGAACCACATTACCAGAATTTATATTCTGACTTGCTCGTATGTTCAGAGCTGTCAGCTGCAAAAGGGAGAATGTAACCAAATACGGAGCAAAATTAACTTTCTGACAAGTGTGCTGAAATGTTTTCATTTCACCAAAAGAAAATAAGATTACCAACTGCCCTACATATTTATCTACTGGGAGGTTGGAAAAGTTGAACAAACCAAGTTCCTTATGAATGTTAAACTTCTACACCTTGTACACCTTACTGGTCATGTTAGAGGAGCGATGCACATCTTTACTGGTTACTGGTCTGCCATGTTTGTCTGTGATTTTCTAGAAAAGCTAAGTGGTTATGAGATGAATATAAGAGACAGGCTATGAAAGAACATACACAACTGTTTACAAAGTAAATTATTTTAGGTAATTATTTTACTTTAGAGTAAAGAAGGAAAAGCCAGAGGGTCTACAAAAGGAAGAAAGATAACATTACTTACTGAGGAGACACGGGAAAGAAAACAGAAGCAGCCAGTTCATTCGAAACAAGCTAACATTAAATCCACTTCTACATTAATTACTAAACGCAATACCATCTCTCTTCCTTAAAATGTTATATTCCAAGCTCCTTTTCCATTAAGACACCAGAACAAGAAAAATGCTTTTGGGTAAAGCACACACACACAAACCTATAAAAGTACCATGAATTTAACTTTTAAGAGATTCTCTAAGTTTATATGCACAGAAATGTCCCTAACTTATAACTGCTTAAAAACAAATTATAACAGCTTCATAACCCATATCTGACACTTCTGAGGCCAAATGTGTTTTAGAATTCTGAATTTCTGGAACTTTATAAAGAGGAAAAATTAAATGAATTATGTAAGGGCCCCCGTGGGGTATGGTGCTGTGACCTGTAATCAAATACAATAACATCTCCCCAGCAAGATTTATGAATATTCACATGCAAATGGGATAAAGGTCATAAACAGCCATAGTTTCTGGTCAGGCTTGGCTGCCAAGTTAACACTTGTTGCCAAACTTACCGAAAACATCTAGCTGCCACAGCTTTTTGGCTTTCAGAAACCAGATAAGGGATCATGGACCTGAACCATAAAACCATGAATTTACTATAAACTTAAAAATAAAAGACAGTACCAAGTTCGTAGAGAATTTAAGCATATTTTATTGTCAGCGGATGTCATTTGATGAAATCACCAATTTCATTACAGATTCCAGAAAATCTTTACAAAACAACTGGCCTCTTGGAGAGGCATGAAATTACTGAAAGAGAAGACGCATCACTTCCCACATCTGTAATGCTCTCTTAAGAACGAATTACCGTGTACACGGGACTGTTAGGTTACCCGCACACAAGTTCTCCCACAAATTAGGATCAGAACTGAGAACGCACAGAAAACGACCTACGTATGCGGTAAGCAGTTAGGGCCCCGGGTCCAGCTCTCGGAAGGTCAGAAAACACCTCGACCTAAGGCAGGTTCTTCAGCGCCATCCAGGCTGGTGGTCACTAGACCAGGAGCTGCTTCCCAACTCCAGAGAAGCGAACTCCAACTCCCAGCAGCCCCTGCGCGGAGGCGGGGCGAGCATCGCCGGCCTCCGGAACGCCGAGGCCTGAGCTCGCAGAGGATGGCGGGAACTGAAAAGCGGCCGTCCGCAGTCCTCCCCTCCTACCCTTGCCCCCGCGACCCGGCCCCTTCTCAAGCCCTCTGCACGGTACCTGTCCCCAGGACTCTCTGGTCTTTTTCCCGCTGCAGCAGGGGCCGTACTACCCGGTCTCAGATGGCAGCGCGGGGGCGACGACCCCGGGGCTGGGGATGAGGGGAAACCTGGCCTAGCGGGCATGCAGCGCCTTGTCATGTCGGCGCCGCTGACGACGGCGGCATGAGCTGTGGCTGGAGAAGATGGGTGCGTGGTTGCCGTCTTGCTGCTGGGGCTCAGAGAAGCTGTCGGAGCAGAGGTGGGCGGCACCCCCTTCTCTCTTCATGGCGGTTCTCTCTTCGGAAGTGACTCCGGTGCGAGCGGGAAGGAACCTGAGGACCAGTAGGGGGTGGGTCTTTGCTGGGACATTCGCGGTCTGATTGGCTAGCGTGGCGGTCATTCCGGTTGTGGTGCAATTGAAAGATGCAGCTTCAGGAGAAGGCGGGATTTCGGAAAGGGGGAGGGGAGGGACAAACTGCTCCCCCTCTCCGTCACGTGCGCCGGGGGCGCGCGCCTCCGCCTCGGGGCTGGCGGCCGCGGCGGGGAGCGCGGGGGCCGGAGAGGCGGCTCGCCGCGGGCTCTGCGGCAGCTGGTGACACCCGCCTCCGGCGGAGGGGTGAGGGTGGCAGGAGTAAGCCGCAGCCGGGCAGCTGCCCTCAGTGAGGATGGCCAGCAGTTGGGCGTCTTATGTCATAGATTGTGCTGAATTCGGCGCTCCCCAGCTGCTTATTACATCGTCCCTAGAAGGTCTTAGGCCAGAGTGCCATCACGCTGTCACCGTTTCCTCTGTGGTCTGCACAGCCAGACCTGAAGATCTGCCCATTCTCTGAGGGTTCTTTTTTAAGTGTTCTATATTCTGTTTTTGAAAGGGCGCCACCAGCAACAAAACCCCCATTGGAATAGGGACAGTTGTTCCGTAAAAGCATTTTGAGTTATCCATGAAGACTCTGCAGCTGGCTTACCCGGAGTTTGTGAAAGGAACATGGAATCAGCTTGCAGTTACCCTTGTTAAGTTTGGATTGCGTGGGTTAATGAAAGCTGCCGGCAGTCCTCAGGCCTCCTTAGAGGCTGATAGCCAGGACTTTTCTTTAGACTGAGAGAGTGTCTTTGAACCTCAGTCTCCACATCTGTACAGTGGGTATATTATTCTTTTTTGGGTAATTATAAACCATAAAAGTAAGAAGTATCGTAGGCTGTGCAGTCAGATTCTGTTATGTAATCAGTACTGAGTAAATCAGTTCCCTGTCTCTGTTCTCCACACGTTCAGTGAAATTAACCTTCTACAAAATCTTCTAGAGACAGGTCAAATACTCTTAGAGTAACCGTTAGCAATCAAAGTACCTGTCTCAAGGATGTCCAGGTTTTAATGGCCAGGGCTGTTCAATCAATTGGATGGAGCAGAATCTTAAATGCCACAGAAGAATTTGTACTCATCTTTCAACTTGCGGTACTAGATTGGTACTAGATTGGACTGTGTTGGTCGGTTGCTAAGCAGGCCCGCCTGACCTGAAGTTCCCCTCCTTGCCCTTCCCAGTTATCCCTCGGGAGGAAGGATTAATGAGGACTGAAGTGGCCAACAGACTGGCAAAGCAGAGGGTACAGGTGTCGCTGCCATCCAAGAGGCACGTTTGCACAGCTGCCTACTAGGCAGTGGTAGTGCAAGAAAGGAAATTCCAAAATAAAAGGGCGCTTTTCAGCTGCTAGTAGAATTTACTGCTTTTTTTGGTGAGCATTGCTCCTTATGTAAAAAGAGCAAAGTGTGTTAAATAATAACTTGTTTGTTTGTATAAGGGGGTTTTTCACGTGTCTTATTTCTTGTCTCTTGATTCGGTGTTCTCTGGTGCATATTTCTTTTTTTCTTTTTTTTTTTTTTTGACAGAGCTACAGACAGAGAGAGACAGAAAGGTCTTCCTTCCATTGGTTCACTCCCCAAATGGCCGCCACGGCTGGCGCTGCGCTGATCCGAAGCCAGGAGCCAGGTACTTCTTCCTGGTCTCCCATGCGGGTGCAGGGCCCAAGCACTTGGGCCATCCTCCACTGACTTCCCAGGCCACAGCAGAGAGCTGGACTGGAAGAGGAGCAACCGGGACTAGAACCCAGTGCCTGTATGAGATGCCGGCACCGCAGGCAGAGGATTAACCAAGTGAGCCACGGCGCCGGCCCCTGGTGCATATTTCTACGCTAGGAAGTTCCTGCTTCCAGAACACAGCACATCTCCAAAACATTGAATCCAGTTTGTTTCATTGCATGCTCAGCCCATAAAAAGAGTAATGCATAAGAAAACATGTTCTGCATGATCAGTTAGCGGCTTTTCTTGGATCTTAGCGTTAGAATCGTTCAGCCTCTAAGGCATCACTTTAAAGTCTGTACTGACTCCACAAACAGCAGTTTTCACATTTTCTTAATCTGAGCAACAGATTATGGAGTTAAGTGAGGCAAGAAATTCCTTGATCAATAAATGGAGATGGAGTCGTAATGAAAACACAATTTTAAAAGTCTCCTCAACAGAGAAGTAGTTATCTAAATCCTCAATAAGCATCAAGGCCCTTCTTTGTTTAAGCAGTATGTTGGAAAGTGACACAGGTTTGGGATGCAGTGTAAGATAGGTTCAACAGACTAACAGGATGGCTGGGAGTCTCTAAGGCTCTCTCTGTCCCCTGGTGTTTGTAACCCTTCTCCCCGCCTTGCAATGCATGCACATAAGCCAAGCACAACCAACTGTGGCACACGAAGGCCAGGAACTAGTACGCTGGGTAAGAGATGTTCAGAGTTCAGGGTATGCAAGAGGGGAGAGAACACCAGGTGGGGCTGCGGGGGACGGAGTACAAGCAAACCTGAGTAAGAGATTTAAGATGAAATAGCCAGGACTGGAAAAATAATTTGGCGAAATTCAGGCTGGGTAACGGTGAAAAGCTGATTTGGGAAGACTTCAGGACTTGGCGGTGAGGACCTAAGACCACTGGGACAGAACAGCTTTTGGGGGATGCGGCGCAGCTCAGTTTCTTACCTTGAGTTGCTGAAGTGGAAGGGAGAGGAGCCGGCTCTGGCCTTGACAGAAGGGATGGGCCAGCAGTTGAAATAATGTTACGTGAACTATCTGACAAGTTTGCTGAGAGAGTCAGGCTGACGGTGGGAGTGGTGTAACTGATAGCAGAAATGCGAAGCAATCAGAGCTTGAACAGCCTGTGCAGATGGGCTCACACAGAACCTTAGCAGGCAGGGAACAAAAGGTCACTAAGTTACAGAGAATGTTACTAAAAAGCAGGGGCCTCTAAAAGGAATTTAGGATTATCCAGTAATGACGAATTTGTGTTCTGAAATCGCTACGGCCCGGAATGCCTCCCAAGGCTCTTGGAGGGCACTGGAGTCCAGGCCAAGAGACAAGGATAAGGAACCAACTCAGAGAAACAGGAAATAATGAAGTTCAAAGCCTGCCAGACAAAGGAGCACGCAGTGGTCTCGAGACACGAAGATGAGCTCCCAGCGGCCACCCAAGTCACTTTGCAAACGATGCTGAATTCAAAACTGCCCAAAAAGTGCTTGGAAAAACCCCTGGCTGGGTTTCAGGGGCTTCTGGAGAAACGCCCAATGTAATATGCAACTTAAACTTCCTGGGAATAATTCATAAAACTGCGCTAACACCCATCTGGCATTAAAGAAAGTCAGGTTCTTGTTACTTCGTTATGGGATAGTGCAAAGCGATTTCTCACACTCCAGACACATGAAAAGCATGTTTGATCTTTTTTTTTTTTTTTTTTTTTTTTTTTTTTTGACAGGTAGAGTTATAGACAGTGAGAGAGAGACAGAGAGAAAGGTCTTCCTTCCGTTGGTTCACCCCCCAAATGGCCACTACGGCCGGAGCTTAGCTGATCTGAAGCCAGGAGCCGGGTGCTTTTTCCTGGTCTCCCATGCGGGTGCAGAGGCCCAAGCACGTGGGCCATCCTCCACTGCACTCCCGGGCCACAGCAGAGAGCTGGACTGGAAGAGGAGCAACCAGGATTAGTACCCAGTGCCCCAACTGGGACTAGAACCCGGGGTGCCTGCGCCACAGACGGAGGATTAGCCAAGTGAACCACAGCAGTGGCCATGCTGTTGTTGTTTTTAACATGCTTTGTGACCTATTACCTCAATTTGAAAACCCTCTAACAGGCTGCTGAGTGACAAACATCTGACTATAGCCTGGAATCCTTAAAAGAAAAAAAAAAAAGTATTTCCCAAACCATGTCTTCTATTTCAAATGTAAATGTAAATGCAGTATCTATGCCTATCAGTACTGGTAAACAAGATAACTATAAAAGATACTTGTACAAGGGACTGCACTGGGGTGTAGTGGGTTAAGCCACAGGCTGCCAGCTGCTCCACTTCAGATCCACTCCCTGAATGGGCTAGAAAAGCAGCAGAGGACAGACCAAGTCCTTGGGCCCCTGCACCCACATGGGAGGCCCAGAAGAAGCTCCTGGCTCCTGGCTTTGGCCTGGCCCAGCCCCAGCAGCTGCAGCTATGTGGGGAGTGAACCAGCAGATGAAAGATTTTTCTCACTGTAACTCTTTGAAATAAATAAATCTTTAAAAAAGAAAAAAATAAATATTTACTTATTGTCATTTTCATTTTAAAGGCAGAGAGACAGACAGAAATCTTCCATCTGCTAGCTCACTCTCTAAATGCCAACAACAGCCAGGGCAGGGCCAGGCCACAGTCAGGAGCTGGGAACTCAATCTGGCTCTCCCGCATGGGTGAGCTCAAGTACTTGAGCACAGTCTGCTGCCTTGAAAAGTGCACACTGGCAGGACGTTAGAAGGGGAGCAGAGCAGGCAGGACTTAAACCAGACTAGTCCCGGTTGGGGCGCAGGGGTCTGTCCCGGTTGCTCCTCTTCTAGTCCAGCTCTCTGCTGTGGCCCGGGAAGGCAGTGGAGGATGGCCCAGGTCCTTGGGCCCTGCACCCGCATGGGAGACCAGGAGGAAGCACCTGGCTCCTGGCTTCGGATCGGCGCAGTGCACCGGCGGTAGCAGCCACTTGGGGGGTGAACCAACAGAAAAAGGAAGACCTTTCTCTTTCTCTCTGTCTCTCTCTCTCACTCTGCCTGTCAAAAAAAAAAAAAAAAAAAAAAATGGGATGGAGAATTCTGGTACATTGCATATAGTATATGAACATATGTTCAGCAAAATTTTCACTTCTTCAGTTGTGTGTGTATCTTACATGGTGGTGGTGTAAAGGATATTCCAGTGGCCCACAGCAGAGCCAAACACACAAAATGTTTGGAAGCTGTCGCTGTGACCTGTATTCACGTTTCATGCTTCTGCGTATTCGTGGCTGGCCCTGAACAGCAGAAGCTTTTGGCCGGGGGAAAGGGATGACCTTCCTTTGGTCACTCCAAGGCAAGGCAGTGGAGGCCAAACTTGGGCTCTCTTTCTGCCCTTCTGTGGCCAAATCCTATAGGAGTGGGAGAGACATGGAGAGAGTTCCGTGAACACCCGATGTTCTTTCCAAAGAGGCTTGCTGTGATTTTGTGATGTTCAGTCCACCTTAGCCACAGGTTCACATCTGTGGATTCAACTGACTGTGAATTGAGAATTTTTTTTTTAAAAAAAGAACCTGCAAAGTTCCAAAAGCAAAGCTTCAGTTTGCTGTGTTCTGAGCGCTGTTCTGAATCCTTGCAGGGGGTACGTCGGTGCCGCCTGCTGCAACCTGCTGTGCTTTTGCAGGGCACAAGTTGCTTGAGCACTGTTTACCTTGTGTCTCATTGTGTACCAGGTGGTTAGACCTACAGGGCTTGGGTACAGTAAGTACAGAACAGTTCACATAGCATTTACATTGTGTTGGGTATTGTAGGTAATCTAGAGATGATCAGAAGTCTGAGGGAGGATGTCCATGAGTCACTTGCAATACGATGCCATTTTATGTAAGGAACTTCAGCTTCCCCAGATCCCGGTGTCCTCTGAGAGGCCTGGGCCAGTTACCCTCTGGATACCGAGGAACAACTGGTAGTCAGATATTTTGGTTTTCACCCATGGTTCCTAGCTCACAGCTCCTATTGCGTGACTAGAACAATAAAGGTAAAAGTCCTTTGTTATCTGCAACAATCCTTTTAAACCTAAGTTTATGTTGATATGATGACAGCCTTATTAATGTAACCTATCAGCTATAGTTGAGTGTATGTTAATCTTACTCAGTCACATCTGCATTTATGTTGATAAGTAACTACCTTATTAGCATAAGCTCATTAAACTGCAGGATGAGGAGTTCCTTGCCAGGGGAACTAACCCTGTGCTCAGAGTTGGATTCACAGCCCATACCCCAAGGAGGGAGAGGGGCTGAAGGTTGAGCTAATGACCAATGGCCAATGATTTAATCAGTCATGCTACATGAAGCTTCCATAAAGTCCCAAAAGGAACTGGGTTTGAGGATCCCGTGGAGAGCCAAATACACGGAGGCTTCCAAGAAGATGAACAGAAAAGGGTGACACACAGGAGGGTGGCACAGTCCAAACTCCACAGAGACTGAAGCTCCTGCACTCAGGGCCCCTCCAGATCCCAGAGGGGTTGACTCATCTCGCTGTTTGCTTGTCTCCTTTAACATATCTTTACCACTAAGCTAAGGAATGTGTTTCCCTGAGTTCTGTGAGCCACTCTAGCAAATTATCTGACTGTAAGAAGGAAGGCTGTGTGGGAATCCTGATTTATAGCCAGAAGGTCAGAAGTTCCCAAGGCCAGGGCTTGCAACTGGCATCGTGTGTGTGTGGTGGGGGAGTCTTGAGGGATGGACTCTCAGGCGTCAGGAGCTGATGTTACAGTGTCAGCATTAGGGGACCCAGCTGGTGCTCACTGCAGAGCTGATCGCTTGCTGGTGGGAAGAAACTCCCTCACATTCGGGGCTCATAGAAGTGCTGTGAGAGCCTGGCCAGAGAGTCTGGTGTTTTTTTTTTTCCCTATTAGCTTGCCTTTTCCCTTCCCAAGCTGAGTAGCCTCTAGGTGGGGAAGAGTGGCTGAGGTGACCCTATCAGGTCCTGCTGTGTCCTCTGTCACAGTAAGGACTGCAGGTGAGAAATGAGAGAGAAGGGACAGTGCTGCAAAAGAGGCAGGAAGATCTCAGATCTCTTGTCCACCCAGCCCCTCACTAAAACCACACTACCCTGCAGCTGGAGAGAGACTGCTCTTGCTCCCTCGTGGCGCTCTTCCCAGCATTCAACACATCTGCCATGGCCCTTTTCTTCAGTGGACTCTGGCCTCTCTATAGAGTCATTCTTGCCACCTCCACCACCCTCAAGCTTCAGCAACACCAGAATACTGATAAGGTGGCATCTGTGTCAGCGAAAATTCCCTGGAAAAGAAATCTAGGATGAAAGGAAGACTTTATTTCAGGAAACAGCTTGCTAACTGGGGAGGGTGCAGCCTTCTGTATAAGAAAGAAAGTGCATCTCAAAGAAGCAAAGAGAGGGCTGTCTTAGATGCAGAAAGTTCCTGCCCAGGCTCCCACTCTGATCCGCTAGGAACTTAGGATGCAAGCTTGCAGGAAACACTCAGGCCTGATTGATGTTTAAAACTGACCACAGATCCTAGTTCATTGGTCAGGTCTGGGTGGCCAAATGCTTTTTGGAGGCCAGTCATCTCTGTGGTTGAAGCAGGAGCATGCCTGGACAGGGGCTGTAAGATGCTGTTTCCAGGCGCACGGAGCAGAGCAGTGTGCGTTTCACAGCCAGTCAGCAAGCGGCTACTCAGCTCCAGTTTGAACTTCAGGCCCCTTTTGCCACTCCGGACTCAAGGCAAACGGTTGACTTCTTCCAGGGTTTCCAGGAGGTAATACAAGTTAAGTGCCTCAGGCCCACCTTCCCCACTTTCATAGAGATGGCATCGGAGAAACATTTCTTAACAATGACACTGAAAACCAGGGGTCAGGCACTGTTTGTTCTAGGATGGCCTGTGGATATGGGTCTGACCCATTTCATCTGTACCACATTCCTCTGAATTAGAAAATGGTGGCCTTTATCCATGTGTTGTCTGCACAGGCATGATGATAAATGGCACCTGGTACTCGGCCCCAGGGAGGAGAGATGTGGGGCTGGGGGAGAACCAGAGGGCACATTCCGCCCTCTCCAGGCCACAATTTCCAGTGGGAATGCAGGACCAGCATTGCCCCTCTCTGTCAAAAGCTAGGGAGCAGAGGGGAGGGACGGTGAGGGGGAGACGGGACAGACCTGCCATGAATATGTGCAGCCCCTCTATGTTTTGACACATTCCCTAACATTTGTTTATTCCTGTAGTACTGCGAGATCATGCTCTCTTAAAGCAAATGTCTCTTGGAAGCAAAAAGAGGAGGAAACTGTGAGTGCTTTTGGTATCCAGAGGAGTATTATCGGGAGTAGTCGATTCCCACTCAGGGGCTTTCAAAGAAATTGCCTTACTTTACCCACGGTCAACATCTATGGGCATTGAGAAGGACTAATAAGGGGCCGATGCTGTGGCATAATGGGTAAACCCGCCACCGCCTGCAGTGCCGGCATCCCATATGGGCGCCGGTTTGGACCGGCTCAGCTCCAGCTGTTGCAGCCATTTGGAGAGTGAACAATTGGATGGAAGACCTCTCCCTCTCTCTCTCTCTCTGCCTGTGCCTCTCTGTAACTCTACCTTTCAAATAAATAAATAAATCTTAAAAAAAAAAAAAAAAAAAGAATGACCAATAGCCTTAT